CTAGGTTACTATAACATAATACCAAGCAACTCAAACACAAAATCTCAAAGAAATTTTCTTAGATCAACTCCAGAAACTTTTTAATCAAAAGCCCTAAAATTATGGCGAGGAAAGTAAACTTTGTAAGGGAATATGAGTTCTTTTTTGAAGTACCTTTAGTACCTTTTAGAAGTAATTTTACATTGGCTAAGTGTAATATTTTCCACATCTGTTTTGTAACCTTATTAAATTAAAATATTTTCACTAGTATATAGGCTGCTAGAGGCAGAGTAGCTTATAACAAAAAACATGATTTTCAATAAGAAAAAAATGCGCAATTAACTTAGGCGAAAATGAATTTGTACTATAACTTGTGTAAGAATTATGTTAACAATTTTTGGTAACTGTGCTCATGTAGAATAACATTTTAGACTATAAAAATCGAAATAAATTAAGTCAATAAATTGCAGTTCTACTCTGACTCTAGCTGCCTTATTTATAGAATGTTGCAGTCAACGTGAGTCGATCTCATTTCTAGATATATATAGTCTTCAATTAATCGATTGAAGAAGTCTGAAAACTTCGAAATAATTCATTATTAGTTTAAATTTAGAACACGTCTCGTAGCGGTCGTTACAAATCAAAGTAAATGGAAAACTTACGTTAAAGTACTGCGAACTAGCAACAATTCATCTCAATACCGCTCAACAAAAGTTAAGTTTCACGAGTGAATAGTGGCGTAGTAACTATTCAGGTGTATTTTTTGGTTCACGTCTTTAGTTCAATAAGGTTTTGTGAGTTACTGAATATAGTATTTCAGTTGATTTCTTTCTTTTTCCTAGTATATAATACCATTTATGTTCAAAGATCAAAAAATATATTCGTATTTTTTTTTAGAATAAAGAAATGGAACTTTGTTTACATATTTTTCATGAAATAATATATCTAAGTGCTATATTTTTTGTCTGTAGTGTTTGCCCTACGCTTAATGTCAATTGTCAAAGTCGAACAGTCGCGCGCAAACTATAATTTCGAAGTTATTATAATAACCAAAAAATTAAAATTTAACGTCACCGTTGCTGAATCTTATTGCGTTATAATTTTCTTTTTATGTAGCCATTTATTGTTTGCAAAGGTTAATCTTAAATAAGTTTTGCTGTATATAAAAGTTTTAGGTAAGTACAATTCATAATCACAAAATAACTCTTACAGTACACCGTGGACACGGGATGAGGTGATTGTTTAATGATTAAAGAGGACAGACAAGCACGAGGTTCACTTGATGGAAGGAGAAATAATACAACAATATAGCAAAAAGCGCTATCAGTCTATTATGGATATGCGGAAATCCATACACTTAAAACGGAACGCGATTAAACTTCACAGCTTTTCCATCTGTAGACTGTAATGGTTCGCAAACAAAACGGCATTTCTATATTCCTAGTTACTTACATATAATATTCCGATTTCCAGACGCGCGATAATTATTAGCTGCACATTGCCGATCGACTAGACTAGTTGTTATTAGGCTTAAACGTAGCGGAAGTTTACAGCTCTTTAGTTTGTTTGCATCCTACTCTAATGTCATTTATAAAACGAAGACAACAGACAAGAGTACGGGACATTTATAAATAAAGCTATTCATTTATCACAAAATTTAGGAAATATTCGCAAGTGTACCGACACTTAAGCTTTGTTGTTTGTTAAAAGTTTTAAAGTATGTCAAGCGTGACTAAAATGTCTTATGACTTAGCTCAAAATTTAAGAGAACTATCTCTTTGGAAATTCTCCTTAATAGAAAACTAGTTCAAATTGTCATTGTTATGACGAATAAATTAATACGGGACAATTTATTTCGCATTTTTCTATAGTATTTTTTCACGATATACCCCAGCATATAGCATCTAAACAAGATCGCTGTCGACCTTTTTTGACTTTGGATATTCAGAAATCACAGACTGAATCCGAAACGCATTTAGGCTTCACGGCTTTTTCATCTGACGATGGTGGTCGTGACCCCTACATTTAATATCCAGATTTCCAGACGAAGTCCAACATATTTCAGAAAAATTGTAAATTAAGAAATTAGAAACATGTTGGATCCAACGGGAATCGAACCCACGGCCCGTTGATTATTATTAGCCTTACATTGTTACTATTAGACCAACGAATCCGCCTATAATAATAATTGTCTTTTTGAAACTAAAAATAACTTACAGTCCTTTAAGTTCCTTTCGCATATTATGAAATACTAAAAATCAAGTGATTGCTTAGATCTCGAGGAAAAGGGACAAAACAAATAACCTCCCCCGTTTTCGGTATAGATGCTCTTAATAAAATTTATTTCCTGAAAGGTAAGTGCGCTAAACAAAACCAATTTCATTTGTAAACAAACGAAACACGCCGCATTGACCTTAAACTTTGAACATCTATCTGACGATGAATTGGGCGAAAGTATTCGAATGGAGGTATAAGGATTACGTAGCTTTAACACGGAAGTGATGAGAAAAAAGAGAACTCTTCTATAAACGAGAGAAACTTGAAGAGTCGAATCTAGCTCACTTTGACTAATTATTTATTTTAATAGACAGAAGTACAATTACTTGAAGTTTCTTTGCAGTTTTCTTTCAACTAAAAACAAATTAAATAAAATGAATAGGGTAGGGTAGACTACATTTGTCGGTAATTATTTATATTACAAATCGGTTTTAGATTGAAAAATACGACACGGACGGGACGTAAACTGGCAGCCACAGCGTTTCGTTTTGTTGCTCTAACTAATTGAGCTATCGTGTCATACACGTAATTGTTTAAGTTTTTCAATAAGTTTGAAAACATTATAAATCAAGTGTATTAAATACTGTCTGTAGTTTACGCGAGTAATACTCATCTAAATTAAACACTTTAACGATTTAAAACGAAACGAAATTATTATTTTAAATTATTTAAACAGTTAATCCTTTGACATCAGAGACACCCTCCATCCTTAGTCTCCCAGTGACACGGCTGCTGCAGAGCATCCGAAACGTAAAATAATTCGCAAATAAGTTTAACTAATATATATCGCGTTTTAAACCGTTGCAGTGTTTTATTTTGATCAAGTGTGTTCGTATACAGATATACATTTAAATTATGCGGTCTCTACTGCAACGCTAAGTTAACGGCACCAAATTCAATATTAACATAATGTCATTGGGTAAAACAACCCTTAACGCAGGAACGACTTATTATAGCACCATTTCTGCGTCTTACTAGAAAGAAAATTTCAAATAAATACTCGATTCGCTGAACGATTCGATTCGATTCAACGCGGAAATATCTAATATTAAACTTTCCCAGTTTTTGCACTTCAAAAATTTGATTGAAATCAGTCCATTTGAACGAAATATTATTGGAATATGAAAAAACCTTTTTCCTAGTGCCGTAAAATTGCTATTTTATTTTCAACGTAAGTTTATTGCATTTTGTGCATTCTTTTTTTAGTCGGGAGTGCATCTTGCTTCGGCGGTGGATAAAATGTTTGTAATCCCTTAGGAAGAGTAAAAAATTCACCCTATTTATTTTTACTTCTTTTTGTAGTTTCCATTGAAACATACAAACATAGCATCAATACGTAAAACTAACAAAAAAAGTTAACCTAGTCAGGGATGTGTTCGTACGTTTAAATTGTAGAGGTTATTATTACGATTTAGATGCTGAAGATGTTGCATCTGAAAGTTTAAAAATAAGAGTATATATAGTTCGAATTTGTAATCGTTAAAAAAGTTTTGTTTATATATGTACGTCACCTAAAAACAATAATGCATTATTTTTCTTAAAAATACTGTTAAACATCTACAATACATAGAGGTCAGCTGTCCGCATTTTTTGAACTAATATTTCATCAAAATTGGTTTAGCTGTTAAGGCGTAAATAAGGAAAAAGTCTTATACAATCCGTCCATCTATACAAAAATCCATAAACTCAATTCGTAACAGTAGCACAAAGTGACGTGTTACAGGCGAGTTAAAATTTGCAGCAATTTGGAAACTATTCCCGAGGAGGAGAAGATCATAGCTGATAACATCGAAAGTGCTTTCAAATATTATTCAATATGACTTATGTAATTTCAATACGCGAGTAAGATTAGATAAAACTCTCTAACGTTAAACATATTGAGGTTATTTGTGAATTTTATTTTCTTTAACTTTTTAATCGCTTTACTTGATTCTTAATCTTTGTGAATACGCGAAGATTCAGTTTGACAGTAAATAGTAATACAGTCTTAAGAATGAACTAAGCGTATTAATATTCTACTCTAAACTAATTTCCATGTAATATCTAGATGAAATTTATAATAAATACCATCAAAACGATTTTAATAACTTCTGCGTAACAAAAGCATAGCGAATCTCGAGATTATTGAATCCTAAGAAATGATCGAATTAAAATATGATTAGATTGTAAAGAGAGATAGCAGAACCATGGCATGTAAAAAGGAAAGGATACTGAAAGTAAGAGTTTTTTTCTTCATATTGTAATAATTATGATGTTTAAGACTAAATTAAACAATAGAATTGAAAATAAATGCGCTTAGCATTTATAACTTTGTGACTCAATAAAAAATCGATTTTAGACTGAAATGTACGACATTTATACGATGTTTAATTTTTAACGTTGGTGTAATGGTAGCTATGTTTAGCTAGCTAGTAATCAACGGGTCGTGGATTCGCTTTCCGCCAGGACTAATACCTATCTAATCAATTTAAAATTTTGCTGAAAAATGGATACTTAGGTGGTAGGAATATCAAATCGGGATCGTTTCGGTTTCCGTCTGTGAATTGCCGAATATCTTACTCAAAATAGGTCAACAGCACATTTTATTTAGATATTATATATGGCTCTGGATATCCAGTGAACCCTTGTCTGTCCTCCTCTGTCATAGAAATGCCTTGTAAAAAAAGTTTCTTTGTTACAGATAAAAATGTGAACACAAATATAAGATGGCGGCGCAAAAGCTAATTTGCTTTATTCTCATCAGCATGGTCTCAGCTAACATCATCAGACGCGATTTGAATAGGCCCGCTGCGATTGATAAATCACTAGAAATCGAACCAAATAAAAATGCGTCTGTGATAGACGCGGTTAAGAATTGTGAATCTGTAAACATTAGCAAGGAGACGAACTTTCAAGTTCGACATTTGAATTCGATTTACTTGAATAATATTTACTCTGTGACAACTAGCGGTTTGATTGAAGATCAGATGGCAATTGACAAGGTCAAAGTGGACGGGATAAACTTATACGATGTTATTACACCCGACTGTGGGGGCGCTGAAGTGTGCCCAAATCTGAAAACCAGGGTTACTGAGAAGAATACGATTACAATTGGATTTCTGAGTGCCTACAGGTGGAGTCAGGTAAGTCTACGTACGCGTTAAATTGTTTTTTATACGTCTACCATAATCTCCTTTACTACACACACGTCCCAACCTAGCGTGGACTTTTAAATGAAATTATATTTAAATACTGTCTATAGTTTACGCGAGTAGTATACATTTAAATAAAACATTGAATTGGTTTAAAACGCCATATATATTAGTAAAACTTATTTAATAATTATTTTTAACAACAGCCCGACGTTTTGCTTGATGCTTCTGCGTCGTTGCTGCAAAGCATCGTTTTAAGTAATATATATCGCGTTTTAAATCGTTACACTATTTTATTTATATGAAATGTTATTTGTCAATAATAAAAAAAACAAACAAACTCGCAGATTTATTTATAAAGAGGCGACTAGGGGCATTTATAGCGTCTTCAGTCTGCGAGGTGTGCTACAAAATATACGAAATGTCGGGCCGTTGTCGAAATAAATTAAAGTGAGTTAACTAATATAGTTTTACGCTTAAAACCGCTAAAAGTCTTTTATTAAAATTAGGAACACGTTTAGAATAGCTTTCTCACCAGATCTTTGAAAAAACACAGAACTAACAAAAAGGCAAAAAAACTCCTAGTCATATCATGATATGAAGACACACGAAATATTTGACGTAAAAAATGTTGACATCAACCGTTAAAAGTTATGTAGGGGGCTTGAAGATATACAGATCGACGTATTTTTTCTTGGTGCGTCTCATCTACTTGGGTCAAGGTTTGGATGTACTTCTTCAAAGTTTTATTTAAATTAATAATAACCGATATTATTTATAATCATTTCGTTTTAACTGAAAACACTACTACTTACAATAAAAATTAATCTAATTAATACATTTTTGAAAATTACAAAAGAGAATATTTGGAACTTACAAGTTCAAAGGCTTATTATAAAAAAATATTCAATAACATATGTTCTTTTGCAATTAATAATTTCTACGATCTAATTATAATAAACGATTAATTTCGTAGAACAATTTCCGTTTGAAAATTATCCTCAAAGGGCTTTAAGGTTATTTAAAGCGTTGTCAAGTACAACTCAACTTAGAAGCTGCTTATAGTATCAGTAAGTATAAGTAAGTAAGACTAGTATTCGTTCGTGACAATGCTCACTCCCCCGGTCTCATTTTATTATTTTCTATTCTTTGCAGTTGAAGCCTTGGTCTTGCTTTTATAATGCTATAAAATACGAATAAAAAGACATATAAGTTACTAAGTAAATTATAATATGTCAATATTTTATAAAAAGTTCATCGCAATTCAAGAGAAAATACTTTCCCCCGTGACCACGGCTGATACTAAACATCAAAAATGTCGAGCCGTGGTTAAAATTAAATTGAAAATAAATTTACTCGCGTAAACTGTATTAAAATAGTGTGTTAGTATTTTTTTCTTAGTAGGAGTATTTTGTAACAAACATCTTGTTGTGGCCGTCGTTCAGACGGATAGAGATGAGCGACCTATTGTTATATATATGTCGATTTGATGAAACGCAGAAATTGAAAATTTGAATTTCCCTTACTATTGGTTTTCAATCTAATCGTTCGAACGTTAAAAGCTATCGTTCAATTGAATTCTAGGGAAACGACAAATTAAGAACCATTTAATTTGGCTGTGTGTAATTTCCATATAATTATATATTGCTGCCTTGTCGAAACTGGTATAGGTCTTAAAAAAATATCGATGTCTGAATTAAGTGATGGACGCACAACAGAAAAGATTTGCCATACAAGCGTATATGGCAAATATTTTGGACTTTTTCAAGATTCAAATGGCCTAAATTTGAATCTTGAAAAAGTCCAAAAGATTCGTTGTCCAAGTCCAAAATTTGTGTTTAACGCAACGATACGAACGAGATTAGCCATCCAGCGAGGAATGCGGCGATAAAGTTATATGCACTATCAAAATTAGCTTTTATATTTGTACATTTTGAACAAATTAATACCTAAGAAATAGTTTGAATTTCACGATTCGTTTGAAACGTTTGGTCGTATAATTTAAATAAAACACTTTAACGGTTTAAAACGCAATATATTAGTTAAACTTATTTGAAAATCATTTTTAATTTCGGCCCGACGGGGAGACAATGTCCATGTCGCCCTGTGACCACGGCTGCTGCAACGCATCCGAAACTAATACATCGCGTTTTAATCCGTTAAAGTGTTTTATTTAAATGTGTAAACTATAGACGTTTGGCCGTCGTTAAAGTAAATAAATAAAAAAGCTAATATTTATAAAATAGGCTGATATCTATACTATATATACTAATATGTAAAGCTGAAGAGTTTGTTTGAACGCGCTAATCTCTTATAATGTTGTTTTAATGTATTTTAATTTTTGTATTCAGTATATGTAATACTAGGGATCACTTATATGGTCGAAATACTGAAATTTCATCCGGGTAAGAATTGTTAGTTCGAGAGTTAAGTGCTCCTTCAGCTGTTGTCTATAGATCTCCTAACGTTAGAAGATTGAATCACTTTAGACCAAACAATAATATTAGTATACCTCACTCTTTTGAAGGCCTCGTGGGTTCAATCCCCACCCTGTGCAACATCTAATCAATTGATAATATTTTTGAAACATGCTTGACCTTATCTGGATGTTAATTGGGTGGGAAGAATTTCGAACTCTATTCGGTTAAAGACGTTTCAGTTCCAAGGCTGTGGATTTCCAAATATCTTATTTTTAGACTATAGGCTGAAGTATTTCAATTTAATTTTCATTTCTTAAAATGAACCCCATGGTTGTCTGTTCTCATCTATCATCAAAGAAAACCTCACATCGTAATATTAATTTCAAATTTACGAACCTCAAACATCAAAACAACTGGAACTTCATATTATGAAGCCAATTAAATACATATCATTGTTTGTAACAAAAATGAAATAAAATAAACTCTTACTATTAAAGTAATCGAAACTACAGTTTCCAGAAATTGTAAATAAATTATATTTACCAATTCAACTGTAATAAATGAGAGTACAATTGTGAGATTTATTTTGTATATTTGAAATATCTAAATAAATCATTTTGGATATTTAATTTGCCATTAGTTTTCTTAAGCATTATAATCCCCTTAATTTATTTTTAATATAAATTTATTTTTGAAAATCTGCTCTGCTAACTTAAACTGAGTTAAATTGAAGCTTTTTTGTATTTTCTAGTGAAGGCCATAATTCAAATATAATTTAGATCTCATAATAAAAAAAGTACCTGTATTAGCGTACTTATTATTATAAATCCTTTTGACAAAATTGGTAATTAAACTTAGCGACACAGAAATCTTTATTCTTTGGGAGAAAATTCTTTCGCCAATACGACACTTTGATGAAAGGTACTATGATTAAAGAAAGATTAAAAATACCAGTAGGTAAGCGATTTTTAGCGAACTTTATTTTCATATTCTACTGATAGGTATTAGTGCTGGTATGATGAGCAATTATATAAATATTATTTTCTCAAACGTGCTTGGAAATTTGAGCATTATTTTGACATTTTTATTTGAGATAAATCGAACTTGCTGTGCTGTCCGTATCGTTAATACTCAAGACGATAATTTCGTGAGTGAGAGCAAGGGAGTGAAAACAGATTGGAAATGAATATAAAACAAAAATATTGTATTTTTATAACAGAGAACAGAGAATTTATTTACACACACAAATAAATGCTGCCATTACAGATATAATCCAATTCGACAGTAATACACGATATAAGAAAAAAATTGAAAACTAAGTTTTAATAATTATTTTCATTACTTCTAGTACTAATTAAAAAAAAAAAGTGATTTATTTTGTCTCAAACTTTACTAAAGTCTGTTAAGTTATGTACTAATAGCTAGAAGCACTATTTCCGCTAATTTCCTTTTTGGTATATTAATTCAAAACGCCTTTTACATCGTATGTGAGCTTTTTCGTAATTAGACCTACCCTCAAGATATAACTAAAAATGGAAGATCTAAAGAAAACAGTTTTGAATGTTTCGGAAATGTTTACTACAAAGATGGAGCAATTTCAACAGCGTTTGGATAAGGCTAGTAAGGTTTCACCTACAGAATCTAACACTTCGATCGCTATGGAGTTTGAAGCTTTTAAGTCATCTATACTTTTTTGTCTACAAAACCTACAAACTCAGGTCGAAATGTTGTTCAGGATGCAAGATGACTTGGAAATGCGCTCTAGGCGTAAATTCCTTCTACTGCATGGCGTCAACGAATCCAAGGATGAGAACCCTACCTCCGTTGCTAAAATGTTATCAGTGCTTCTTAAGTGTCCTGATCTTGCAGCGGACAGTTTATCTAGATGCCACAGATTAGGTACTCGAAGAGATACTAAACCTCGGCCAGTGCTCATCAAGCTTCGACAACATCAGGTGAAGGAACAAATCTGGTCTTCCAAGACCCATCTTAAGGGTACTGGTATAACTCTGTCCGAGTTTCTCACAAAAGGTCGGCACAATATATTCATGGCCGCGAGGAAGCAGTTTGGCGTTAGTAACTGTTGGACTCGTGACGGGAACATATACGCCATTCGTCCTGATGGGGAGCGTTGCCGTATAAACGACATGAAGGATATCATCGGTAGTGCTTTTGAAGATGAGCCGACGGCGACAACGAGTGCACCATTGCCACAGCCGCAAAAGGATAAAGGTCGCAAGAAGGCCCCAAATAAGGGGCAATAATCCCCCCATCTTAGTGTTTTAGTGTTTTCGGTTATCTCGTTGTGCTTTGTGAGTGATCCTTAAAGAGGTTAATGGTGCTTATCGTTTATAAAACCTAATTCTTTAAAATTAGTAGTTGGTAAAATTTTATATTATCTAATTATTACTACAGTTGTGGTTCATAATTCATATACTTACTATGTTAATCATATTATTATTGTTTACATTTTGTACTCTGTAGCAACACAATGTTAATTGTCATCTGACATAATTCCAATGTGACTTTATGACACTTCGTGCAACACTGTAGATTGTCAACACAGACAATGTTTTGCATTTTACTTTGTAACGTTTATGCACAGATGTCGTAACCAAATGATTACTGATATTTCGTATCTCGATTAGTAATCAGTAACTAGTAACGAAATGCATTAATTGAATGAATGATTGTGCCTTATTCTTGCACTCACGGTATCGCTACCTGTTACGCCGAAATGTACCCCTGACATTTGTTTGTTGTAATTATTATTATTTCCCTTTCTCAATAATTATTCTTTACTTAAAAATAGGAATATATGAACTAAAATAGCTGTAACAATTATTGTTATTATACTATAAACTTGTCGGGCACCGTTTTGCACTATTTAAATCAGCGGATAACCATTCTTAAGTATTTTACATTGCTTTTGTTAAAAATAATTTTAAGTTTTGAATAATAAAGTACTCATTTCATCGTGTTAGCGGATAAGTGCGAATGTGTGAAATATTTTTACTTTTTATTTTTGTTTGTATATAGTTTTTTTTTTGACACAGTCTTGTAATAATATTGTATAAGTTTGTTTGTAGTAACCTGCTTACAATCATGAATAATGATAGTGAAACATCTGAATTTTTATCCATGTCTTCCTCCGATGAAGACTCGTTTCATAGTACTGTATCTTCATCTAATTCTCTTGACGTTACTCTAAAATCTGTATTTAAAGACCTAACTAAAAAATTTAATGTTATACATATAAACGCCCAAAGCGTTCCAGCGCATCACTTTGACCTTCTTTCAACTTTCTCCTCTATAAATATTCACGCTATCCTTATATCTGAAACTTGGCTTAATCCAACCCTCTCCTCCGTTACTTATGCAATCCCTGGGTACAACCTAATACGTAATGATCGAGTCGGTATGCGTGGAGGCGGCGTCGCTATATATTTACGCTCGCATATCCCCTTTTCGATTGTGAGTATCTCGACGCAGCCTCCACCTTCTAACGCAGCCGAGCATCTCTTAATCGAAGTACTGCTTGGTACAACAAAAATTCTTCTCGGCGTTTTCTACTCCCCCTCTTTAACAATTGACTATTTTGCTTCTTTTGAAACTGTTTTAGATAACTTTACACCTTTATACCAAAATATAATAATTATGGGCGATTTCAACACATGTCTAATTAAAGATGACCACCGATCTAAAAAGCTGGTCTCTATAGTAAACTCCTTTAATCTTAGTATCTTGCCCCTAAATGCCACCCACAATATTCCTAATTGCACTCATTCTCTGTTAGATCTCATTTTTACGTCCTCTCCTCATCTTGTTGCTAGTCATGGTCAATTACCTGCCATCGCCTTTTCACATCACGACCTCATCTATGTCTCGTATAATCTTAAACCTCCCAAACCTAAACCTTCCGTAGTTCTAAGGCGCAACCTTAATGGAATTAATACTGAGCGCCTTCTGGCGGATGCGTCTGAGATTGATTGGGCAGCAGTATATGACTGTTCGTCTATTGATAGCAAAGTCGATTTCTTAAATGCTTCTATTACTACCCTACTAGATTTTCACGCTCCATTAAGACCTGTTAGGCTAAAACACTTGCCTTCTCCTTGGCTTAACGACGAGATTAAATCGTTAATTTCAAAGAAAAATCATGCAAAAGCTAAAATGCGAACTGCCAAATCAGACGTTGAGCGCGAAAAGTACAGGACAGCACGCAATCGATGCAATACGCGCTGTCGGGATGCGCAGAGGCGCTATATACATGACGCTGTTTCTAATGGAGATCCCTCGTACATTTGGAAATTCCTCAAACGCCTTGGAGTAGGTAAGACGCAATGTACTGCCATTCCTTCTGAAATTAATCTGAATAATTTAAACGCTCATTTTACTTCTTTATCGACACCAAATGGGAATACTATGAACCCTCCCTTAGACCACATTGTATCGTTATCCCCTCCTAACTCTCCTTTCTCGTTTACAGAATTCACTGAGCACGATGTTGAAAAAAGTATTTTGTCTATATCTTCCAATGCTATGGGGTTTGATCTGATTGGACGTTCTATGCTTCTTCTTATTCTTCCTGTCGTTCGTTCAGTTATAACTCATATCTTTAACTATTCAATTATTTCTGGTGAATTTCCTACGGCTTGGAAAGATGCTCTTATAATTCCAATCCCTAAAAAAGCAAACCCTAGCACTGTCTCTGATTTTCGGCCTATCTCTATTCTGCCTTTTCTTTCTAAAGTACTTGAACGCCTCATTCATAGCCAACTTAGTGATTTTTGTAATAAAAATTGTATTTTGGACCCACGTCAATCCGGGTTTCGTCCCGGCCACAGTACTACTACTGCACTAGTTAAAGTTACAGACGATATCCGTAATGACATGGAGAATAAGCAACTCACGATTCTCACACTACTTGATTTCAGTAACGCGTTTAATAATGTGAATTGTGCAGTGTTGCTCAAATTACTACAATCAATTAACATTTCCTCTTCCGCTATTAACTGGTTTTCTAGCTATCTTTTTGGGCGCCGCCAGTGCATCAAAGCCAACGAATCTTACTCCCAATGGAGTTCAACTAGTTCTGGAGTTCCGCAGGGCGGCGTCTTATCTCCACTTCTCTTTGCTATTTACATAAACTCCTTAACTTCTTGCCTAACTTCGCATTTTCATCTTTACGCAGATGATCTACAGATTTACGTCACATCGAGTCCTGATAATCTACCGTCAGCTATACTCGCTATCAATAATGATCTGGCCAGAGTAGCCCAATGGAGTAAAGACTACGGTCTTAAAGTAAATCCTCACAAGAGCCAGGTTATCATTATTGGTAGCCCATATTACATCTCCAGACTCGATTGGACTCAGCTTCCTCCTGTAACAATCGACGGTGTTCCCTTAGATTTTAGGCAGACCGTAAAAAATCTTGGAGTAATATTCGACCGTAATTTATCCTGGGCACATCACATTAAAGATGTTAGCCGAAAGATATATGCAGCATCAAGTACCCTCAGACGTCTCAGCAACTTCTTACCTTTTAATACCAAAACCATGCTAGCGCAATCCTTGCTCCTACCCTTACTAGACTATGCCGATTCAGCTACATCTGATTTAAATGAAGAATTACTAGACAAACTTGACCGCCTTCAAAATTTCTGCATCCGTTTTATATTTGGCCTGAGGAAGTATGACCACGTTAGTTCTTTTCGTCAACAGCTTGGCTGGCTACCGATTCGACTCCGACGTAATGCACATGTCCTTCACCTTTTATACTCCATTCTATTTAATCCTAAAACCCCATCTTACCTTAAAACTGAATTTAAATTCTTATGTTCCTCTAGCTATAGTCTACGCTCTTCAGATAGACTTATCCTGGAAGTCCCTTCGCACAGCACTTCCTACCTTGGCAAATCTTTTAAGGTCACAGCAGTACGCTTATGGAATCTGCTTCCAATTTCCGTTCGTTTAGCTCCCTCACTCTCATCCTTTAAACACCTTCTTTACAAACATTTTACACTTTACAACTCTCAAACTTAACGTTTATAATATTATTATTATTGTAATAAGTAAAATTATTTAGATTTTAAGTTTCGCACTTCCTGCACGTTTCCCTAATTAAGTTGTTTTACATTATTTTCCTAAGAAGGGTCGCCTGGAAGAGATCGCTTAATAGCGATAAGGCCGCCCGTTACACTCCATACTTTATAGATATTATTATTATTTTTAGTTCATTGTAATTGTGTGCGTGTGTTGTGTAAAAAGTATAAATAAATAAATAAATAAATAAATAATTACGTTAAGAACAATATTTGCTATTTCACTCCAATACCCCGTAAAAATGTCAACCTTTTGGTGTACAATATTAACTACTCGAATTGTTTGCGTGATGAGCGCCCTGGCCATCAAATTGGAATGCGCGAAAGGCACAACCAGCAACGGTGGATGATGCCGTTTTCCCAAGTATCCGTCCGGCACACTGAAGTAAAGCCAGCGCAAAACAACGGTGTTATGTTCTTTACCGCGAAGAATTTTAATTACGTTGCCAAAGAAAATCCTCGTCTCACCCTTAATTCGCTATATCCTACCATACCCATGACGAACAATGTAGGATTCATAAGTGGGTAAAATGGTTAAACCCCATATTGTTTGAAGCACAAATATCTCAAAAACTTGTTTTGAACTCGCTCCAGCATGAGCTTATATTTGTCTTCATAGGGGCCCAAATCCAGCCGATTACTAAAGTATCATACAGGACTTTAACAGTAGCCATATTGGTAATGGCCTTGGTTTGTCTAAGTACAAGTCCTAGTTTTCTGTACGACTTTTGGCATATTCTTACAACGTGATCTTGAAACAGTAGGTCCAGAGTAAAACGGATCGTACGGTCTCTGGCATGTCGGTCAGCATTAGAAGAAATTCGAAAGGCCCAAGGTTGCTGCCTTGACTTATGCCTGATCTGGTGTAATATGCCTCCGAAACATGTCCATTATAATCAACGTACTGCTGCCTATCTTTCATGTAAGATGTCCAAAAACGAAGTAACTTGGACGTGAACCCTACGGCGGATAGTTTACTCAGTAGCACATCATTGTCCACGGTGTCAATACTTATAATGTATAGCTGATAGACTCTAGCTATTTACCATCTATACAAAATTGTCGTCATATCTTGGCTTTAAACATTCAGAAATCCACAGCCTAAAACCGACACGTACATTTACATTTTACGGCTCATTACCTGTAGGCGGTCGGTAATCCGGACGGAATTTACATTTTAAAATTAAGTATTTCCTATAAAAAAAAAGATTTTGACCCTTATAAAACTACGTACTTGACAGACTAAGAACGAACTGACCATAGACATTTTAATGTAAACAGACATCACTAAAACTAACAATACAAGACAATATACTCTAGAACTAATACAGACTAGCATAATACATATATTAGACAAGTTGACCTTATTATTTTTATATAAACTAACACATCCGCTAGAGACCAAAGCACGACCCGTTGATTTACATACATCGTTAACATTGAATCGTTTTCTGGTTTCTGACTCTTTCTTTTTTGTAGACTGTCCTCGGTGCTTTGCCGCTAGCTGTGGCATTAGTGAATCGAGAACCAAGTTTGCTTCCCGGCCTAAAATTGAGATTCGTGACAGCAGACATTGGAAGACCGAGGCCACTGTTTCCTCTGGACAAGGACAGCCTTTCTTTAAGGTAATTTAGGTTTTAACTCGACTTATCGCCACAAAATCAATATCCTCTTTAAAACGAGAAAGATTCGCTACGCCCTTTATTACCAGGGTTCGAATTTAAATTTGTGTCTAGTGAAAAGTTATTTAGAATATTTGTAACAGTATCGATAGTACCAGCTTGGGAAGTGGGAGGTGTCGTCATTATCAAGATAATGATAAGCAATCAGTCTCGGTTAGTTTAAATAACCGAGGTAGCTCACTGACACGCAATAGCAGAGTGGTTTTGCTGACGATTGAAGATGGACACAGACAAGCATACCCCAGCCATCTAGTATCTATAGCATATTTTTTCAAACTTGACAAAAGACCACAGCAGATATATGTATGGCCGATTTCTAACATTGGAGAACTGGCCACAACCTTTTTTAGAGTGAAGTTGAGTTATGCAAGATGCGCGGTCACCTTATTTTGGCTTTTGATATTTGACCTTTGCCCAATTGTAGGACAGTATGGAGTATATACACTTAGTACATGCTTCTATATAAATACATGATTGAGTATTTTTTATACGTGACAAGGCTGTCCCAAATCTGTTCAATAGGCCTAATGTATCAGGCTAGCTAAGTGCGGTTCGCTAAATGACTAAGAGTTTTTCGATTTAATTGCCCGGAAATTAATGAATGATAAATTTCTATTTTTTGTCAACTCATCAATTTTTTCACCTTCGAAATTGTAAGCTAACACCGTTGTTTAAAGTAACGCGTATTCTTTAATAAAGAAAGGCTTCTAACAATTAAAAGATGGCATACAGTCGACAGTATTCTACAGTACATGCAGCAAGAGTTACGTGTATATAGCAACAGCACGGAACGCTGTGGATGCCGATGCAAGTCCTGCCCGAGTCGTTTTTTTTTTCAATTTATAATCGATTTTTATTTAATATCGTAGGGCAATTTACTAAGTGAGATAGTAAAAATCTGTTTTTATGTTTTGGCACAAGGCTTTCTTTTTCTTATCTATGGCTCGATCAGTGTTCATTGGTTGTTTATTTTAGGGTGATGACGCAAATGCGAGATTTCGGCGTAGTGGCCTTTTTTGGACCAGATGCCACTTGCTATACGGAGGCGAAACTGGCCTCGGCGTGGAACCTACCCCTTATATCACACGTAAGTTTAAATTTCGCTCGAACAAAATTAAATTGGTTCATTTCGCTTAACTAATTGAATTTATCGAAATTTCACAATGATACTGTCTGTTAAACTTAATTTAAATAAAACACGTTTAACGGCTTAAAACGCGCACTGTGTGAGTTAGTGTGTTAAACTTATACAAAAGATATGATTTAAATAATAATAAAGTAATTATAATTTTATACAAATCGTAAGCTAAAATGACACGATTATCATACATTAAACATTTATTTAGATAGAACAATATATGCGACACGAGCTCCCGCTCTGACCTACATTTTTATGAAAGCTATGGATGCCGGTTCGAACCCCGCTCGTGTAACTGTTCTTAGTCTAAATAGATATTTTATTTATATTATGCTACTATGTGATATGACATAACATGTGAGAAACGTCACAGATTACACGCGAGATAAATCTTTTCTATTTCCCGAATAATTACACTGATAAACTTCTGATAATTATCTTGCTTGATATATTTTCATTATATGTTTACGTCACCTCAAACCAGGCTTCGACTGTCATGTAGAAACAATTTAGTAGCATTGAACATTTGAAACATAATCACGGCTAATGGATTATCGATGTATGAATAATAAAAAAATCGACATCGAATTGAATAGCCATTAAGTATGTTTTTGCTGGGTCAGCCTAACCAATAATAACAAACAAATAAAATTATTCTAAATTAATTTATTTACGGTAAAGAGTAAGTGCAAACGCCTTATCGCCTGTGGCGCTTTCTTCCAGGCAACCTTGGTATACAGATATGTAAAACAAAATTAACAATAAAGGAGTAAAAGTCAACAAGAATGGGTGAAATATACAATAAATTTTAACTAAACTTAACTTACAAAGTTATCAAACACTGTCGACAAAAATCGTTAACAATAAAACGTTAAAGACTTTAGATTGATTTTTTCTTACAAAAATGAAACTTATAAATACTCATAAATAATCGATACTAATATAAAAAGCTGAAGGGTTTGCTTGTTGTTTGAACGAGATGTTAGATAGTTACCACATAGACAAAGTCAATTAATATTGTTAATAAATTAATTGTTGTTTGTAAGAACAAATTTTGATCCCCAATTATACGCGGACTACTTACTACTTAATAACTATATACGCGTCTTTATTTAATCAACTGCTAAATTGAAAATCGCCCATTAAATTTTCATGAAAACCGACAGACGGAATAATTATTTCGCAGGATTATTTCGCGAAAACATAGCGTTAAATGTAAAAGGCCAAAATTGCCATTTAATTTGACAAATTGAAACGGTCGCTTGGAAATTAAATAAACCCATATATTGAGAATAATAATCGAAGTAAAGGACAATTGTGATTATGATAAAATTTATATTAGGCTTTTTATTAGGCCATTCACTTGATGGTAAAATAACCCAGCCATATAACATCTAAAAAGTATGCGTTGTACCTATTTAAGGTCTCAGCACACATATGGGATCGGAAAGGGATCGTAACCGTAACGCCTCGAGCCGTTCAGAATGGTTTGTATTAAACTCCCTACTGCAACGCACACTAATCGGAATCGTAACGTAATCGCCTCGCCTCGGAACAGGCTCCGAACTTGCAATTCCCGCGCTTACGGCTCATCGTCCCCGCGCTTACGGCTCATCGTCCCCGCGCTTACGTCTCTCCGTCCCCGCGCTTGCGTCCTACTTGCTTTATTCATATTGTGTACCCAATATCTTTCGGGCGACGAGGCGTAAGCGCGGTGTCGCCTAGCCGTAGCCGAGTTGACGTACAGGCGCTGCTGATACGCTTTCGTTACGTGCGTACGGTAGGTTGACGCCTGGTTGACAGCGAGGCGAAAGGCGTTACGGTTACGATCCCTTTCCGATCCCATATGTGTGCTGAGACCCTTAGGCTTTAGATTGAACTTGCCGCCTTTTTTATTTGTGTAGGGTGATTCGTTATCCGGACGGAATTTCGATATTCCTACCACAAATGTAATATCCAGATTTCCGGACAAAGTTCAGCATGTTTCAGAAAAATGTTAATAAACTAGTTTTGTCAGTGACTTCGATCGCGTAAAATAGTTATAGTGGGCATGAAAATGTTCTTTAGCGAACCTCGATTTTAATCTGTTGCCCACGACGTCGGTCGCGTCCCGTCCTCGTAATCTTTAAAGACATATAGTGACATTTTTTTAGATCATTTATTCAACTTGTTGATTATTTGCCATTACAACGAGTCGTTCATGTACGAAATATAGTGTGCGATATGTCATCAACGGCTATATCTATAATGATATATAAAGCTGAAGAGTTTGTTTGTATGTTTTAACGCGCTAATCTCAGAAGTTACTGGTTCGAATTGAAAAATTATTATTTTAACATTTATCGAGGAAGGCTATAAAAATAGCACTGTGACAAATACTAGCGAAGATACAGCGAGAAATGTGAAGAAGATTGGGAAATGTATCAATTATTATAGGTTTCCGAGGCGTACGCTGCAAACAGTTCAAGATACCAGAAAAATATGTATAAAAGATTGATTCCTCTTAAAAAATGTCCGTACACTATTTCTATTTTCTAGGATACAGTTGCAAGAACGACGGGACGAAGTCGCTGACACAGCTAGTTTTTAAAGGTTTTAGCAAATGCTTCCCTCTCACCCATCCAAATTTACAGAAATGCGCCGAAGCTCAAGACTCGGGTGGTCTCGGAGCGACGTTTGCCAGGACGCTGCCACCAGCGCACAAGGTCAGCAAATCTGTCGTGGCGCTGATGAAAGCTTTCGGTTGGACTAAGTTCGCCATTGTAGCTGGAGACGAGCAGACGGCCGCTGGGCAGCAGATGGAGGCTATTAAGGTGAATAAAAAGATATTATAGAAATACTAGCGACCCGCCTCGTCTTCGCTCGGGTGCAATGCTGATCTAAATACACTACAGAAAAACTGTGAACGTTGTATATAAAAACCTTATATCACTCTATCTATTCAAAAAAAACCCGCATAAAATCAGTTGCGGGACAGAAAAAGCGACTTATTTTATACTACGTAGTGATGAAATAATAATCAAAACGCGAGTCTCGAACCCACAACGTTTACAGCCTCTTACTTTTTCGTCCCTTAATTTCTTTTGCTTCTTCTTCGCCGAAGTGACGTCCCGAGTGCAGTCGCCTTGAATATAGTGTCGGATACTCCCTCATTTCTTATACCCCCGAAATATAAATCGGATATATAGAGTTTAAATCTTTTGCAGTATTATGCGGTTTGATTTACTTAGATTCCGCGTTCTGTACTGTTTTAAGAGATTTAATTTATACAATGCTGTGTGCAATACAACGTATGAAAAACATTTTATTATCCAAACATACATTTACTGAGATAACGTACACGTCTTTATTATCAAAAAATAGTAATAACCTATATTAATATTATAAAGCTAAAGTTTTTTTTTTAATTATTCATCTTTGAGATAAAAAAAATGAAAGAATCATTCATCTTTAAAATATAATAACGATGACGAAACAGTTACTTGCAAAATTCAATAATAAGATGCTCAAAATTATAAAAAAAAATTGACATTATACTCAACTATTCCACGCAGACGACGTCGCGAGTGCAGCTAGCGATACATATTACTATTAAATAATTATTTCGATTATAGCGTATGTTTATGCGGTCGGTGCCCATTTGATCTATCCGTCAACATGTAAAGCCCGCACTACGCGATGCTAATTGATGAATTTATTATGTGCAGGAGTTGTCCCAGAGCAACGGGTTGACAATAACAGCTGAGCATCGTTTCGCAGACTACATTCCTCGTCACATTTCTCACATGGAGAGAATTGTCGACCAGACTTATAAGAAGACGAGAGGTTGGTAGATTCATGTAAAACATTCAGTAGTTGACGCGAGAAGTACACATTTAAATAAAGCACTTTTAACGGTTTAAGTTATAATGATAAAGTAGCTAAAGTATTGTCTATAATTTAGTAGTACTTATTTAAGTAAATTAAAAGTGTCCTTCGTAACCACGACTGCTACAGAGCATCCAAACCGTCAGGGCGTAAATAAGGTGTCTGGTTTATTTCGTGTTTTAAATGGTTGAAATGTTTTATTTAAGGATAACAGTCATATAATGCTTGAATTATTGTATGTCTTTCAGTATCTATGAGACTAGCTTTGTATTTAATACAAAGTATATAACAATTAAAGATAAAAATCATAGTATTAATTGTATCCTTACGGTTTAAAAGTTTATTTATTTCTCAAATGACTATACAAAATCTCTTACTGAGAAACTAGGATAATTTATTTTTAAACTTAACTACCATAACGCACCGCGTTATCCGTTTACAAGACAAGTTATCTTGTCTGTATAAACTGACTAGATGGAGCTATTTTTAATTCGCGATTGCGCGTAGGCATGCATTCCACAGCGAGCTTCGCTATTTTGTTGTGATATTATTTTGCTCTAACAATATACATAAGTTTTAAATATTATACACTATTTTTATGGAGTGAATCCCTAAGACTTAAAATATGGTTATCCTTGGTCTTCAAAACTTAAGAAACTTTGCAAAATGAACGTTAAATACTGATTTCTTTTAAGTTTTGACTTAAACTTATTAACTTGAATGTCAAATAAAGGCTTATAAAGAAGCAAGACAAATATCATAAAATGTTTTTACTCTGTAAGATAAAGTGGACACAGCGTTGACGACGACGTGGATCAAGTATTTGAATTCTTCGTATTAAGTATTTTCTTTAAAAATAAATATTCTTCCAAGACATTCAATAAAATGTATCGTGGGAAATAATATTCCCCAAGTACTTCCCGGAAAATAATGGAATTTTTCTCCACGAATAGCTGATAAAGAAATGTCAATAAACATTTTATTATTTATTAGATAAGTATTTAAGAAGTGTAAGTAATTCTTACTCAGCGCCTTTCGCCCGTTTTAAACTAAGCTAGCTTATTTTAATAAAATACTTTTAACGGTTTAAGATGCGTATATGCTATTTTACTCATTTCCGAAGTTTTGTTTGCTCTGCAACAGCCATGGACACGGACAACGGTTTTAATTTCTTAAAATGAGTACTTCCGCGTAAATTACAGACAATACTTAAGTTACTTAAATGATAAAATAAAGGATGCGCTGTCGGTTTATAATTATTTGAAACGCCGGGCGAACTCAAACGCTGTACAACCAGTCTAATATTTATTATTTAAGATCGATTGTGGGTGATTTAAAGAATCGAAAAATCGATTATAATCATACTTAACCTAGAAAGGGTAAAAAAAAATATTAACTCAAACATAATGAATAACAAGAATCAAATGTAATAACTCAATTAACAAACATTTAGTAATTTCCAAATCGAAGACGTTAATCTTTTTTAATACTCCAATGAAACTGTCTAGGGTTGGATTAGATATTAATCAAAGTGCCTCAAAGTCACGGTCAAGTCCAATATGCAATATATCAACGTCCTATTAAGTTTCATGGAAGCCTGTTCTAGTTTCTGAGATGTAATGTAAACAAAGTCCAAAGCTTTTAACTTTGAATAAGTACAAAGTACACCAGTACAGATTATAGTAATATTACAATAAGCAAGCAATTTCATAACATTTAAATAAAACACTTTTTAACGGTTTGACACGTGAAATATATTAGGTACCTTGTCTGTTAACATTTTGTTTTAAATTTGGACCGCCACAGGTACCCCTCCCGCGGGACCACGGCTGCTGCATAGCAACGTTGGGCCGTAGTTAAAAGTTTAACTGATACACTTCGCGTTTCAACCAGTTTAAAAGTGTTTTTATTAAATGTGTACTATTCGCGTAAACTACAGACAATTTTTAATTCAACAGAAATATTATTAATAACATAGAAACTAATTTAAAAATCGAAAATTGTTTCAATTTATTTTCGATTTTTCAATTGTATAGTGCCCTCAATAAGATGTAAAAATTAATAAAGTTTTCAAATATAGAAACTTCAAGCTTTCATTTATTAAATTTTAATCTTAATATTAATTTCATCGTCAGTAATTTTAGTTACATTTTAAATTTATGTTTGAAAACCGTTAATTGTAATAGTTATGTATTTTCCTATTTCCTGTCCCCAGTTGGGGGTTTCCTCTTGGTTGTATGCCTGCTTACATCTCAAGTAACTAACAACAGAGTTTTTGTATCTTGTAACGGGCTGGTGGGTCTTATGGCTAACAATCAACGGGTCTTGGGTACGATCTTCGCCGGGACCAACATCTTTCTAATAAATTTATACGAACAGTCAGATGATGAAGTTGAATCGTATTTTGATTTCAGTCGGTGTATTTCCGATTATCTAAAACCAAAATAGGCCGATAACGCATCTTGTCAAAATATTATATGGCTGAGATTAATTCATCTTCCATCAAGTATACTTCATACCTAAATCTAGCTACTGTTTCTCTGTCATTATATTTGAAAACACAGTTAAAATACCCCTGCCCTTTGCGATCTTAATTGAGAATAGCCATTCTAACAATTCACCTAAGTTACGTAATTTCTTCAAAATTACTCCATTACTGCTGCGGAAATGTTTCCTGGAATATTTCTGTAATAGTATTGCGGGTGTTCCTGAGTTTACATTCCGATCGTGGATTATTCAGAAGTGTTTGAAGTTATCGATATAAAAGTTTGTTTGGTGTAACAATTTGGAATGGAAATGGGAAAATTAACAATCCTTTTTTGTTACTTCGAGATTTTAGTTTTAATTCGATCTTGGCAGTCTTTGATATTGTCTGTAGTTTACGCGAGCAGTACAAATTTAAATAAAACACTCTAACGGTTTAAAGCGCGATACATATTAGTTTAACTTATTTGAAAACTTATTTTTAACTACATAGATATACAGCAGCCGTGGTCACGGGGAGACATGGAAAACTTACAGCTAATAACAATAGGATATTATATACAATATATTAAATATCAGGAAGCCACTTCACTTTTAGCTTCAGAACTATAAAAATTTACAAAAATGTGAGCTTAGATTATGAATTTGAAGAAACAATTTTTTTTTTATTAATTTTATTAACAGCATTGAGTGTTAGCTTATCCAGTAGTATAAGCATTTGAAAAAATGTGAAATAAGCCACGGCTGCTGCAAAGCATGTGAAACGTTAGGCCGTAGATTAAATAATTTTTACAGAAATTTAACTAGTGTTGTATTGAAATGTGAACTACTCGCGTTCACATAGTATTACATTCATTCTTGTCTGTTTGTCACAGTCTACGTCTTCTTGGGCGAGAATATAGCGCTGGTGGACTTTGTCAAGGTTCTGCTGCGCCGCGGTCTGCTGGCCAACGGAGAGTATGCTGTGGTAGCTGTTGATGATGAAATCTACGACCCCAGTGCAGCTGCCATCACACTAGCTGGTCAGTACACTAAAATACCTATTTGAAGATACAATTAAAGCTGACTGACAAATGATTGGAACAAAATCTACGCACATTGTTATCCCTAAAAAAAATTTTCGTTTTTAAATTAAAATTCACGGAGATAAGTTGAATAACCTGTTTTCAGGAAGGCTTTTTTTATTTAAAGTTTTTAGACTGTTATAAATTTTTATCACATCATTTTTATTGTATTATTTAAGAATATTTATAATGAATACGCAAAGAAAACATTTCTCATATACAAAATTCTAAATAATTTCGTATCTATTAAAAAGTTTTAGATACTGTTAAAATCTATTACGCTAGTAGTCACTATAGGTATATGTTTGAAACAAACAATATTTACAGTCCAATTGTCGAATGGAAAAATGTGTTTAAGCGAAAAAGTTCAATTGGAAATAGATAAAAGTTTAACCAACATTGTGTTAGTGGGTCAGACAACAGACTCATTTACCTATATAGGAGAGAAGTGTATACGTGAACGACAAGCCATATCTTTAATAGAGTATATTTAGTCTGTTTAATGACAGTTTTGTCTTTAAGAATTAATAATTGTATTTAATAATATTATAATTAGTTAAAAACCAAATGAGTATATCATATAAACAAAGTTAATATCTAAATACTTTTAAATAAAACACTTTAACGGTTTAAAACGCGATATAAATTAAACTTATTTGTAAAATATTTTAACTACGGCCCGACGTTTAGGATGCTTTGGAGCAACCGTGACCATGGCCGCTATGCTGTTGAAACCCGTTTTAAACAGTTGAAGTGTTTTAAATAAATGAAATATATTTTAACATAAAACAAAATTAAGTAAATATATGAAAAGACGTACCAATTCCTAATAGTGTCTTTTATATAGAATCCCTATAGATTTAAAAATCGAAAATATTTTTTTTTTTCAAAATTTGTTTTCAAACGTTATAACTTTGTAATTTCATCTTGAATGATGTCTTTAGCTGCAAAGCATAAGACATTGAACCTTAGTACGCAAGTGTTAAGGTTGAAATTACACTGCGCGAGAGGTGCATGTATCAATAAGTTGAAAAAATTCGACGATGAGGTGTAGGACTCGGTAGCTCAATTGGTAGAGCAACAGCACGGAAAGCTGACGATGCCGGTTCAAGTCCTGCCCGAGTCGAAATTTTTTTCAATTTATTTTAGACTTTTAAATTATATAGTGCCTTCATGTGCAATATTATATATAACATGTGAAAAATATTAACGTTTTCATCCCTATAGATTCTTATTACGTTGCGTAAATTTTCTAAAGACTGTGCTAAAAGGTTCTAGAAATAAGTAAGTAGAAATAATAATAGTCTGTGAAGTCTCAGCAAAATATCAAACGTAAACTTCGGAATTAAATAATGAATGACGGCTCACGTAACTTGTAAGGCTCTATTTGTAAACAAACACGAAATCCGTCGAAATAGGTCAATTTGCAGAAAATCCACACGGAATACCCAACTATGTGCTTCGCGTGATAGACATTGAAATGCCGTTCAGTACAGTATACGCCTAGTTGAGTGGAAAGTTTATAACGGAAACACACACTAGCGTTTTTCGAGTGTCGACGTTTTATTAGCGCCCTGATATTTTCGCTTATTCACCATGGCACCACCATGTAAACATCTTCCTACTAAGAAGTAAATAATCTTTAATATCAGTTCATAAACGAAGAAGTTATCAGTGAACAGGCAAAAAAAGAATATATGCGCCAAGAGGTTTCAAACTCTTATTTTTTTAAGTCCTTGACAAAAGAAACTTACCCGTGAATAATGGTCGGGTTGGAGAAAACCTATATTATGTTTTGTACGATATACGTAAAAAGCACTTATATTCAAATAAATCACTTTTAATGGTTTAAAACGCGATATATATTTGTTTACTTATTTACAATTCCCCTTTGCTCACGCTTTTGCAAAATATTCGCTCGTCAGGCCGTTGTTAAATAACATTGTAAATAAGTTTACTAGTATATTTCGTGTTTTAAACCGTTAAAGGTGTTTTATTTAAATTTGTACTCCCCGCGTTAATTACAGACGATACTTAAAATCGCTTATTTATTTACTAGTGTTAAAACGAACTTCTTGTACTCGATTGTATGTTGTTTGCAAATAAAATGGCGTCCGTCGACACTTTAACGCCGCTAGTGTGTGTGGTCTCTAATCGAATTTATTTCGTCGCTCCATAGCACAATGTTTTCCTTAATAAATATATTTTATTTCATCAGTAATTTGATTTGACAGGACTTTGATCCAATTAAAATACAGTCAAAATATAAATTGGCACTAAGGATATTATTACAACAATATTTTGTGCCTTATTATAACTACTAGCGGCCCTGTCCCGGCTTCGCACGGGTAGACATAAATAGGTATAAATATTTAAATTATAAGCATGCTAATTAAAACGGCCATGAAAAATTGAATTGCGCGTTCTAATTGTTAGCAACCTGCGAGCGTTCAGTGTTAGTGTCCCGCGCACGCGTTCTCGAATTCCTACCTCTATTTCTTTCAAGTCGCTGCGACGATCTTGCATTTTGTTCTGCAAGACGAACCTGAACGTTCAACGATAGAATCTCTGGCTCGCGTAAGGAGCCCACTGCCCCTCTATCGTCGAACTAGTTACTCGATGCACGGCGTGGCGGCCGCCGCCGGCATGTATTTTTATTTTTTAATTTCATGATATCTTTTGAATGGCATGTCCGATTTCAATACTTAAAAAAGTAATGATCAGGTATTGATACAGTCTTGAATATTAAATTATTTATTTGGATACAAATTTATAAATGGTATTGATAACACGATCTGATTTCGATCGGCATTTCTATTAATTTGTTAAATGTAAAAAAGTTGTTATAGCGACGTAACTACAATAGTTAGACATATGCTCTCGCGATGTTTTTTGTTGATATTGATATATTCTATAATGTTGTCGAACATTTTTTTGTCCTATCATTATTACTTTTCGCGTATGCGAAGAAAGACATTTTACGGTTAATTTATTGAGGTCTTCCGTTGGTTTTAGTAAGAATTTCTATAGATGCCTATAATAATCTTTCCTCTTTATAATACTAGTATAGATATATTCATTTGAGGTTTTATGGTTTTCCTTTTATTAATTTGTTTATTTAATACTACCGACCACACCTTGCTTTCCACGGGTGCGATGATGATATTAAATTTGCCTACTACAGAATATATATAAACAAACTTGTTGTTGTTATCTTGTGTGTATGTATCTTACAATTTAAGGCTGTAATATCTTCGGAAATGTTTATTTCAATTACATGCTGTAAGAGGCCATATTGATTTAAATTAAATGAACAATGTATTTAACGATCTTAATTGAGTAAGGATTAATACTATATTGTTTAAAATCACTTCGTAACTAAGCCAAATGAATATATAAAGGTCAAAAATCGTTATTGTATATCTTTAACAGATTTCAGGTGTACAAAATTGTTGTGCATTATTTTGATTTATTTATTGGGGTTCAATAAGCCTTTGAAATGTAAATATGATGAATGAACAAGCATCTTGACAACTTCGTTTCTGTTTGTACTTAGTATCAATCGAGTAAAAACTGCTCTACTTTCTTAACTATTTAATATATATTTTTGATACAGCAGTTAAAAATACATAAATGACAATGAAATACCATTAGGCCACGAAATTACGTGTCATGACACTTAGACATGATAGATTCTTTCTATATCTGTTACCAGATCACCTGTTTCAAAACAGCAGTAGTGATGCGCTGGCGTTTAGGGCTGTACTCAAGTTGACACCCTCTTACCCCACCAACCCGCACTATCAGTAAGTATTGTTTTACACGAATAAGCACGTACTAGAGATTAATCTTACTTAAGTCAGACCTTTGATATTTGAGTGAAGTTTATGTCAACAACGCTTTTTATCTGCTGTAAACAAATTTCCATCAGAGCGAGGCTTAAATAAACAGATCTGGCTGTTATTCTGCTATTTTTAAATTATTTGCTTGAGCTTTTCGCATTATAAGAGAAATAAATGATAATATAGGAATACAGGAATAGAAATTAAGTTAAGTTAAGAATAAGTTAATAGGGAATTAGTTATTTAATTTAGTAATTAAATACACTGTTATATATTTTTACTTTGTTATATATATTAATACACACTTCGCTTTGAGTCCAGCCAGAGCGTGATATTCTTTTTCTGAGAAGTTTCGATCAATCATTCATGCTTTACTAAATAATCAATAAGAACGTCATCGCTTGTAACATGTTGAAGTGATAAGTAAATATAGAAAAACACGACCAAACACTACCGCCACAATGTATATTGTGAGCACTGTTTATAGTTTTATAAAGATCCTTTGAGAGTGTGGTAAGCATATAACATCCTAAAGATGTTTTTTTTTATGCCAGAGGAGGAGAGATGTGCAATTAATGGAATGTTATTTAATAACACAATTGAACTTTACTGCTTTTCATCTGTAAAGTCGCGCAATCATAACAGGAACATGTTCACTCGTAAATACATTGTCAATATTGCATAGACAATTGATGCGCACACACTTGACAATCCAAATGCAATAAATAATATCAATATATCTAAGTCTAAAAATAGTCCCTCTACGCAACGAAGCGACTTACCGGCGCCCGTTTTGAATATAACTTGATGACTCGCGCAATCTCATGTAATTGGTGACTTTTAGGGCCCTTTGCCAAATGATACGGAAACTCTCGGCCGCGCCGCCCTTCTGCGTGCCCAATTATCACAAACTCTTCGAAGATACTTCGGTAAGTTAAATATGCTGTTGGATAGTATTAAGGTTAGAAAAGACGTCTGTTTTCATGTTACAAACATATAATGGTATAATTGTTGTGTTTGGCCGTTGTAATCAATCCTCCGAGGACCATTAAATAATGAAGACTAAATTTGCGAATACAACACAATATTTGAGTTATTTTGGGTGTGAAGTAAGGGAATATAACTAAAAGAACAAAATAGGGTTTACAGATTTCCTATTTATTTATTTATTCACGTATGGAAAACTTGCAGCTAGTACCATAGGATAGTCGACAAATTGGATATCAGAAATACAAAACTATATTTTATACTCATAAAAAATGATTTAATAATAATTAAATAATCCAATTCAAGTGAAAAATATTTCCTTTGAGCGGAAGGGTTATGTTACGTCAGTTGAAAGATAAGTCTTCTTCGTTTCTCCCTTCTTTATTTCTCTCAAATAAACTATAAATATACACATGAAATATATAAATAGAATACGTGACAGCAAACATACCATAATTGTTTTTATCTTATATTGTTACACGAAATTGACAAAGCTAACATGTAATGGCGCCTCGCTGTCTCAAACCCAAATAATGTTGGCAACTAATTCGATTGAAAATGCGACAAGTGTTAGGAGACCTGTTCCACAGTGACCACGGCTGCTGTAAAGCATCCGAAACGTCAAGACGTAGTTAAATATTGTAAACAAGTTAATAGTTGGCGTCTTTAACCATTAATAGTGTTTTATTAAAATGTGTACTAATCACAAGTTAAACTTTCCAGTAAGTGGGAACGTATGTGTTTTTCGTTCAACCCAAACACGTCTTCTTCATATTCCACAATTTCTATGTTAAGAACGGTTCTTCGTGACCCGAATTGAGTTATGATACTAATATTATTTCACTCCGCATTTAAATGAACTGATATTCCGACCACACTTTCGTTACAAATTGAATTGTATGCGGTTTTGTACTCGTATGAATAATTACATTTAAGTCTGTATGACCTTTCGTAGCCATTCTTTAGTAACTTCATTTAGGGTGGGCTTTTTTTATTAAAGGTGACATATTTTTAATCTCAAGGTAACAAATAACATTAGCAGGAAACGTTGTTTTACTCATACAATATCAAAAAAAAATCATAGCATACTGTTATTACAAAAAAAAACCCACAGCAGAATTAAATAGAATCGGAGTAAGACAAGTAACTAATTTATTTTAAGGCATTTTATATGAAGAACTACTGTGTACTTTTAGCTGTTGTTTTTACACCTAAACCCTTTTTTTAAGCTTGAGTTTTATTTAAATTTTGCACACATCCTACTCATCAGTGACTATAATGTAGGGTTTTAAACAGTTAAAAGTGTTTTATTTAACACTTTATGTATATAAATAATTTTATGTAGGTGCCGATAGAAGCTGCTCATTTATATGATGCTGTTTTGCTGTGGGCTCGTGCTGCTACGGCTGCTATGCGTGCTGGGGTGCCACCGACAGATGGCGCTACAATTATGAAGTTGCTAAGACCAACTGTCTATAGATCGCTTCAAGGATTTGACGTGAGTGAAAGATTTCACAAATCTAGTGAGTGGGCACATATAAGGGTGCTAGAGGCAGAGTGGTCTAATAACAAATAAACATGATTTTCAATAAGAAGGAAAATAAAAATGCGAAATATGAACATATAAATAACTCAAGTCATAAGAGTGCAGTTAGGCTACTTTGTCTTTAGCAGCCTCAAATATGAGGCTAATAAGTAATGATCAATTTTCATAAAATGTTCTATTCCGCGATGTCTCTCCCGTCCGAAGGAAATATATTTTCCTATGTGTATTATATACCTTATTTATTACGAAATTTTTATAATTGATTTCTATTTAACAAAATCAAAATACTTATTATATGTGTGAAGTAAATTTCGTTTTGCCGTTTTTGAAATTTTTAATTCCAATTGTGATCTCAAACAAGACAACACAACATCTACAAATACAAGAAGCTACCATTATCATTTTGAGGTTCTACATTAAGCGCCGCTCTTGCACAATTGTTTTGAATATATTACACAAATGAAATTCCGCAAACATTTGTTATTCTGCATTGCATAATATTTACTACACTTCGCATAGAAAGTTAAAAGTTGAAGATATATTTTACGCGCTTAGAGATACTATTTAAACTAAATAAATACTTTAACACAAACTGTCAAATTGTATAATCCTAATCAAATAAAATCTCCAATATATATTACTTGAAGTTTGAGGAAATTCGAGTTAAATTAATCTTCAAAGTTATAATCTCTTGTCACATTTAAACTATCTTCTTAAATGAATGGCTTGCTTAATGCCAAAAATTATCAAAAGCGATGACTGACGCATACCTTTGAACCAGACATACATTAATTGACCTTTACCCTATTATAGATAAATATTAACGTATAGAAATATGTGTAAATTAGCGATCATTTTAAATTTCAGTGTAACACTACTTAAGCATTTAAGTAAATCCCTTTTAACAGTTGAAACGCGAAATCTATTCGTTTTTTTTTTATTAAGTCATTAATTTACAGCCAGACGTTTCTGATGATTTGCAGTGGCCGTGGTCACGAAGCTAAGTGTTTTTTTTATTTTATTTGTGTACTACTCACCTATATACTACTGAAACCATTGCGGAATTACGAATGCAGTTTTTATTTCAGCACATTATATATTATCTAAGAGAAACGTTACTCGTGACTAATCTACTTCAAGTTTTTAAGATATGAAGGAGGTCTTAAAAATCAATTTAACTTCTGTTTAAATTTATATGTGGTTTTGACTTTGACATTAGAGACACCCTCCCTCTTCAGTCACTCCTAGACAAGGATAGCTGCGAAGCATCCAAAACGTTCGGCCAGCGTAAAATTAAAATAAACATTTTGTTAACGATTATAATTCGCGTTTTCAACCGCTAAAACTTTATTATAAGTCTACAACTCCGTAAGCTTGATGTACTAGAAAAACAAATTAAAAACCAAGTTTAAATTTGCACTCAGACTTTTTGCTAAGGTTAGTAATATGCTACTAAATTATTTTCAGGCTTTCATTAAATAAAGTAAAGAACTCTGTAAATAAAGACACTTACTGCTTAGTGTTATTTAAGAGAGAGACGCGTCTTTACATGGAAACGCCTACAGTTTAAGCTGTTGTTTTTAGAACTTAGACTCTAAGTGGAAATTGATCGATTATGACTTTCGAGAATTTTCTTCTACGTACATTGTTGGCAAGAAAATTCTTTTAGTTTAGACCTGAAGAAGGTCTGAGGAAATTCCTACAAAATTTATGTTGAGAAGAAAACAAGAAAAAAGGCACCCATTTTTTATTATCACGAACTATAATTCTCCGAAATACATTTTTGGGATTCCATACCCAAAGATGAAATAAAATCTATGTAGCTACTATTGTTTAGCTAGTACGGAATCCTTCGTTGGCGAGTCTCAATCGCACTTGGTCGGTTTCATTTCCTTGGAATACATTTTCGGTTCCTTCCCTTATGGTATACGAGCCGTAACTACTTTCTTACAAAATTCAAGTAACATTGTAGGTATGTTTGTTATCCTTTTATTAAATAGGTTATACAATTTGTGATTTGTTAAATAGTTAGTCGTCCGCGATTTCAGAGTGTTTACCATATAAACAAATAGGTTTTATTTTAAATAAATACACACTAATCCTGAAGGCAACTCCCCCCCGACCACGAATGCTGTAAAGTGTTCGAAACCTCGGTGCAGTAGTTAAAATGAATAAACTATTTTTTTTTTATTGTACATGATTTGACTTTCACTGATCATAAATAATAAAATTTACCGTGAACAAATTGTAACTAATATATTTTACGTTATAAACCGTTAAAAATGTTTTATTCAAGCACACTGAGCCTTCAGTGTCATTTAAACATGACGTACTATGTTACATAACTGAGTTTATATCCAGTTCGAGACAAGTTCCAGACACCAAGTAAATTGCAGTTCAATTGAATTTATTATCTGTCTTTACTTTTACTTCAATTGAATTATCTGTAACTGTAATGTCTTATATATCTATCTAAAAATGTCCGCGACACTATATGTCTATCATTTAAGATGAATTTACAAGAATATCGGGACGCGATCGACGTCGACGATGACTAGGTTTGCAAAAGCAAATTAGGATGCCCAAAAAACTTTTCTACGCGGACGAAGTCGCTGATACAGCTCGTAACTGATACTGGTTGAACTATGTTTATAATGCTTCAGAAATCGTATTAATTATAGCAACGATTGTTTACTAATCTAACGCGGAGGGGAAACCGGGTCTGGTCGGATGTTTTTGCGGATTGATCCATCCTTCAATATTTGTCCCCAACGGGATTATAACAATTAATTTTTATGGCATGGAGGACGAACGTTGGGGCTCGATTGAGGTTTTAATTCCAAATCCATGTTAGCACAGATTACATACCTACTTTGGAGCTGAGTAATGCGAAAATATTTGCAAAGAACATTTTCTTTGACATTTTCTCTGCATTTAGTGTTAAGTACATGTTATGTGCTAATGGTATGTACTGTGTTGACTATTATTGAGAAAGTATTTTAAACTAAAATAGATGGGTACCTTATGTAACTACCAATATTTTAAATATATTTTTGAAACCTTTAATAACCACTAAAGTATTTTTTTTAATGCCCAAATGATACATCGTATTAACGTGATCCTAATGATGTCACGGCTTCTTGAGATAGAGTGAGTGGAGTATACAATACAAATTTCTGACATGCTTTAAGTTTTAAAATTGTTGCGGAGTACGTGTATGTGAAAGCAATACAAAGAAAACACCTGAAAATTTTTTATTTATGTTTCTCGTTCAGTAAAATTATTTTTTAATATTGGTAAAACTAGATAAACTTAAGGAAAATTACGCGACATTCCGTGATTCTATAGCAGTATTATCAATTTGCATTCAAACTTGTATACATATTCATTTATGATTACAGTCAACATTTGTTGTATCAGTTTGTATTTTTGTGTGACAATAATTGATCAATAGTCGATGTTTTCGATTCCCCAATAGAATTTCTTCTAGGAATATTCTCAGACGATCAAGAAACAATTTGTCTTTTATAATATGGAACAATAAACATTATCTCTGTTTGACAAGAAATTCGCTTTAGCTTATCCTTAGTGTCCCATTTTCTTGTTATAGTATTTTTCTCTTTTGGAAACAGATGAAGACTTATTCCCGAATCTCCGAAAGTATTAGATTAAGGAACGCCCTAAACTTAATGTTTCTGCTTAAAATAAGGACAGGTTGTTTTTTATGAAATGATGATCCACCTGATTATATTTCAACCTAGCCTCCAACTAAATTGTCTAAATTCGCCCCCAGAGACGCGCAGGTAATCTTAACCCTTGCCAATTAAAATTTGTAAAGTTGTAAAATTTACGCTTAAAAATATCGAGTGATTAAACGGTTAAAAGTGCTTGAAAACTGTATTACTTTTCACATGTTGGCGATTGATTAACACATTTAAAATTATGTCGTTAAATATAAATATATATTTTGTTTAGGATCGTTTACACTACTAAACACAAAAGCGGGAATACCACATCTTACTTAAAACAATTTTTTCAACAAATATTTATTTTGTATTTTATTTAATTTTAACAACTACCAAGCTTTGTTATGTAACAAATTTTACTAATAAATCTAGTTTATACACTTACCCATAATTAAATTTGTACACATACATAATTAAAATTAAGATAATATTATTTTAGACATTCATTTGTTTTGGTCAGGAAAAGTACAGAAGTTTGAATAACTGGGAATAATATATATGTGTCTGCGCCAGTTTTCATGCGATGAGAACGGTATTTTGTACTACTGTTCAAAATTTTAATAACACATTATTTATTGTATTACATGAACTAAAAATGTTTTTTAAAGAAACGCGTTGTTACTAAGACTATTTATTGTTGCGTTCATGCTTGTAACAAAAACAAGACAAAAATTCTTATTTCTTGTCAGTTATTTCTTAACTGGAACAAAAATTGGTTTACGCGTTTTATAACAAAGGAAGCATACACTGCCAATTGTTAATTTCTTGAAAATGATAACTAATAGATGTCCTTATTGTTGTGGTGTAAGCATTTATGTACCCGCCATGTGTGCAAATTGAAGCGCCTGACAGTAATTTCGTTAAATTGTAGCTCTTATACGCAGCTACATTTGAGAATGCAAAGCAATTTGGTGAAACAAAAGACGTTCTAGGTGAACATGGACAGTGCCGGTGATGCTGAGGGAAATTTCTCTGTGATCGGTCTTGTCGAGGACAATGGCGCCCCTGGCGGATGGAGCGCGCAACCTGTGGCTGCTTTTCGTTACGTCAATGCTTCCGATTTATTGCCGGTAAGTATTATTTTATGACAGAAAACCACGGGTACAAATAAGGTTAAGCCATTACTGATATGGCTCTTGCAAACATCTATTTTTTGCTTACGGGATTTTAACCTGAAATAAATAAATGTTTTGGTGTTTTTACATGTAACGTATATAATAACACAAGAAAGAAGAAGAAGAGTCTTAGTTTAAAATTAAATTTCTTTCAACTGTTTTAAAACGGTTTTATTCATTTTACGTTCGAGAAGTTTAATATTTTTCACATATGATGGCATTTTTTTTAATAATAATACATTTATATTAGATAGAAAAAAAAACACGGCACGGGAAGGTTTCGAACGCTTATTCACAGTGTTCTGTGACACCGACACTAAAACACGCTAGTTCAATTGGTTACGGAATGCTGGGGATGCAGGTTCAGTTCCCATGCCGTCATTTTTCCAATATATATATATAAATTTTTAATTTCTTAATGTCTCCTGTTGATGCCGTCCGCACGATGCCGCCGCAACTGTCCGAAAGACTTCTAAATAGGCAGATAAGCGGCCATAATAACGGTGTCCCACGATCCTGCTTAGCACTTGATTTTCTAACCCTAAAAAAACCCCAAACTTAAAAGAAACAATGAAGCATTTATGAATGTCGTTATAACCCAATGAATCTGTAACTCAGTAATTAAAAAGAGCGAAGAATGTCACTGATTTCTCATCAATTTAGCTGTCGACGCGTTAAGCTACGCCTTACAAGAATGCGAGTGTTGTCTGTACCCCTACTACCGTGAATCGTGCGGAATTTATATCAAAAACTAACTTGACTTATTATGTTCTTTAAATAGTTCAAAGCGCGACAATAGTGGTTGTCTCTACGGTCTGCTTACAATATTTAGCAATGTAATTTGGTATTTATCTATATAAGTATAAAAGTAAATTGGTAGCCTTCCTTTGCCACGAGGTTTGAATAACAAACAAACTCTTTAAATTGATTAAAATGCGAAATATATTACTCACCTTATTTTTATGTTGCTGCAAAACAGTTAAAATAAAATAAGTAACTGATTTGTTTCGTGTTTTGAACCGTTATGTGTTTTATTTAAATGTGCACTACTTGTAAACAACATTTTTATTGCTTTTTGTTATATCCTTATATGTTTAGTAAGTGCTACATCGTTTGTAGATTAATAAATATTATTTCTTCTTCTAAAAGCGTGAGTAAAATCAAAAATATTGTGTAGTCTATAAATAATTCTCTTGCGTACTTAAGGACAAAACTGGTTATTTGATAATTATATAACCTATGGTAGGGGTATAGAATGGAATTCATTCACATTGGTTACGCTATATATTACTGTACTTACTGACTGTTTAATTATAATGACGAAAGCTTAATTACCACTCAACTTGTACGTTATATTTCTCATTTCTAATAATTAATACCTATTTGTGTACTACGGCTTGAGTAGCTAAATTTAGATTAGCTTTAATTTGTAGAATATAATAAGGATTAATTAAAAATCTAAAATAAATTAAAAAAAAACAGTTTAGTTTACAATGGGCGAGAGATGCACGTCTCAATAGGTTGAAATTCGGTAATGAGGCGTAGGACTCAGTAGCTCAATTGGTTAGAGCAACAACACGAAACGCTGAGGATGCCGGTTCACGTCCTGCTCAAGTTGAATATTTTTGATTCTTAGACTGATCAGATAGGCCTTCATGTTTTGGATAGGTAATTACATATAACTTGAGCCAGTCTGAAAATCAGAGCTGCTGCGTGTGACCAGCACTCATTAGTTCAGTTGAAACTAGTCTTGCCTTCTATTATCTATTCAATATTCACTACCTGGCAAACGTTATTTTACCATATGAAGTACTTGCTGTTACACACGACGTCGTCCGCGTTCCGTCGTCCTTATGGGCGAAACTTAAAAGATAGACATGGGCGCCATATGTCCAGTACCAGACATTTTTTTCGATTTTAAAGAGGAATAATTCTTTTAAACATATTTTTTGGGCATCAAGAATCGACTTCGCAGCGCACGCCACGGAAAAACTGAGGAATAACTTTTCTCCTTTTTTTATTATACATTTCCCTTTGTTTCTTTGCTCCTATTAGTAGCAGCGTGATGTTTTATAGCCTAAAATAATTGTTCAATTAGGTCCCGTAGTTCCTGAGATTAGCGCTATCAAACCAACAAAGAAAAATCTCTTATAATATTTGTATAGATTTATTACACGTTAGTAGTTATAAGTATATTGTTAAAACTGTGCAAAAAAGAACAAAACAAGGTTTTGACTTGAGATTTAATATGCAATTCTACTTTATTTAAAATTCAGGAATTAGTTGGTGGCCACAAAATATCCTGGATTGGTGGGAAGCCGCCAGTAGCGGAACCAGCGTGTGGTTTCGACGGCAGCAAATGCTCTATACCCCACGATCCGGGAGTCATAGCAGCCGCTGCAGCTGTTGCGGCTGCTGCATTTCTCGCATTGACGCTGCTGGTGCGCCACTATACTTACGAACAGAAACTCGCGTCCGTTCTGTGGAGGATCGAGGCGAAGGACTTGATTTTTATAACTAGCTGTACTGATAAGGTGGGTGCACAGATCGACAGGCAGGTCCCGTAACCTGTAAAATATTTATTGACGTTTAAGCTTAGAAACAATAGTGTAGTTATAGGTAAGGAAATTACGTGACGTACATATAAAATTAATTATATTACTTTAAACAAATTCTAATCACCAGTTAAAAATATTGTGTTTTTATAATAGAGGGGGAAAGACAAGGCTGGGGTTCGCTTGATGAAAGGTGAAATACTCCAGCCATATAACATCTGAACAAGATGCGCTCTAGACCCATTTTCGATTTGAATATTCGGATCTATTAATTGAAAATTGCTTTAACTGAAAGGTTTTCCATTGAATTTTTAAGACATTCGAACAATAATAATTTAAAAAAACACCTACGCGTTTCGGGTGCTTGGCGGTAGCCATGGTCACCAGGAACAATTAATTAATATATTTCGCGTTTTACACATTTTAAATGGTTATTGTACTTTAATTACTCGCATGAACTACAGACGATTATAATTTGGGTATCATCTAGAAATCGTGTATGTTGTAGAATAGGTAGTCGTTTGAACTCATTGGTTTTACCATTCACAATAATACCCAACTGTTCCGTTATAAAGTCCCTACGGCTCTTCGGAACCCCAACTGACTTTTTGTAGCTTTGAATTTTGTGTAGCTTTTAAATTTCATTAGGCAACAACGATATGAAGGGCGTATCTCACACCAAAGGCGTTATAATCTTCTTACAAAAGTTACACGAGAAAAGGATTGAGTTCAGTGTCCAAGGGTGACCTTTAATTGATGAAGAAAATAAAATTGTACCCTTTCGGGGGCAACGTTCGCCGAACATATCAATTTCAGTGTTAAGTTCCCTTTATTAAGAATCTAAGGACGAACGGAAATATAAAGAAGCTTCTTCGACGAGCTCATTGATTCTATGGTTGCAATGTAATTGTATGTTCTATTTTAATTGGGGCAAACGTGTTTCGCAAAATCAAATTACAATTTTCCTGAAACATGTAAAACCTCATTTTGAAATCGAGATATGAAATGTTTGGTAGGTATATATCGAAATTGTTAAATCTCGCTTCGGTTTCAGCCTGTGGATTTTCTAATAATCAAGGCCAAAAAGCTCGACGAAGTATTTTGTTTAGATATTAGCTGGAGTATTCAACATTCCACCAAGCTTGTCTAACCTCCTCTGTTATAAAATGTAAAAGTATTTAAAACACGCCTTCGAACTTTTCAACGAAAAGGACAGTTATCCGTCGGAGTTCCGAACCTTTGCAAATACATATTTCAGTACAAATTAAAACTGCCCTTAAAATGGCGTTGATTAATTATTATCAAATCGCTGTCAATGCCAACATTATCCATTCGGTTACATAATGCGGGTAATTACTGATTCGCCATATATAAAGCTAGTTGTAAAAACGTTCTTTTGAAAATATTTCTACTAAATCTGATTACCGTAGAAACATTTCTTGTGAGGTAATATTAAAAGCATTTTTTTTAGATTATTTAAAGACGATAGCTCTTTTGTATTTTGAACCGTTTTGGCAACGCACGCAATGAAAATCCTCAACGATGAATATTTTTCCCCGTCTATTCTACATTTGAACCAGTCGTTCCAAAGATTAGTGCGTTCAAACAATCTCTGCATTATATTAGTATAGATATATAACTTGCATAACTTAACTTTATTTAAATAAAACAATTTAACTATTTAAAACGCGATATATTAGTTAAATTTATTTGAAAATGATTTTTAACTTCGGCCCGACGCTTCGGATGCTTTGCAGCAGCCGTGGTCACGGGGATTTAACTTGATTGTTTGCAAACTTTACAATTTATTTATTCGGAATTTATTTTCACACAAAATTGTTACTGAATTACTCGAGAATTAACTTTTGTAATGCCTCGTTTATCTGTTCGAGTATATCTCGTCAAAAATATTTCAAGAGGGCTCAACCATAGTATAGTAACGTTATGTTACACTGTACGCTGGTCATGGGATCGAGTCTCTTCTGCATACAATTATTTTAAATTAATATCATCTTATATTTTTAATTATGCATAATATTATATATAGGATGCTGTATCACAAGAGGTGGAGGGCAGACGAGCTCACACAACCATAGCGTCCTACCGCGGCAGCTTCGTAGCAATCAAACGCTTGAGAAAGAAGAATATAGACGTCACGCGAGTTATTAAGAAAGAATTAAAACAGGTAAGAGTTACTTTTAAATTAACGAACCTACGCTGATTGGCGAGCAAATTTATTAATTAAATACGATTGTAACTTAAAAAAATTACGACTCGCGCAGGACTTGAACGGGCGTCCATAGCGTTCCGTACTGTTGTGTACTCAATTGCTCCAACGAATTGAGCTTTATTGAGTGTTTTCAATTTATTGATACATGCAGCTCGTGCCAAATGAAATATCAAGCTTAACTTTTGGGTATTAAGGTTCAAAGGGTTGCAGCTTAAGAATTACGGAAATATCAAAAACTACTAATTTTATTTTTACGTCAGACATTGTTTATTTCTTGCTTTGACTGATTTCTTTATTCAATGGTAGCGATGTATAACCAGTAGATTGAAGGTTTAAGTAGTGTATAAATTACTTTCTTATTTTCGAAACATGCTGGACTAAGGGTATGGACTAAAATCTAGACATTAAATTGGTTCAATATCGAAATTCCGTTCCGGTCACGCACCTGTTTTGCGTTTCGGTTTAAGCCTGTGGTTTCTCGAATATTCCAAGCCAAAATAGGTTAACAGCGTACATTAACTTAAATAACATCTTTTAAGTAAGGCTTGTCTGTCAAAGTCAGTCGTAAAAAATATTATATTTATTATTGATTAAAAATCGATAATAATATGCAATAACAGGTAAAAATATTAAAGTTTTCAAATGTCTTATACTATTAGTTTTCATACAGAAGGTTTTCTAAATTCATCTCATGTCTAGATAGTCTTGATTTAACAACATTTCCCCAGTATACATGTAGTATGCAGTATAGTGCAGTGAACATGCTCATCAAAGTTTTGTCAAATGTACTTTGATGTTCGAAACATCGCTTAGAGGCAAACAACTATACTGATAACTACTTTGATAATATAACACAAAGATATATGACATATCAGTTTGAAATAGCCTTCTCTTTTTGAACTAGCTTACTTCACTCAAAAACATACAAGACATGTTTTAAATTAAGCCATCATAAAACATAAAGTAGGACATTATTTCTTCGGTCTAAGGAGACAAAGTTCTATCATTAGAACCGTTTATTTTAAAAAGGTATTTGTATTAGAAAAAAATACGACACGGGTAGAATTTGAACCGAAATCCACAGCGTGCTGTCATGTTTCTTTAAAGTCTAACAATTGAGCTACCGTATCCTACACGCCGTCGTCGAATTTCTTTAACCCGTATGTATTAACATATGCATCTCTCGCGCGCTCAAACAAACAAACAAACTCTTCAGCTTTATATATTAGAATGGATAAAGCCTAAAATCTTGTTGACTTAAATGGGTATCCACAGCTAATAAAACTGTAAAAATGTAACTTATTCCTACTAGAGAGAAATTAATTAATAAACCACAGTGCTTTCGTTTGAAGTTCTATTAAAACCAGTAATTTTCAATATCCCTTGATTCCTTACCAAAAAAATTTTCTCCATAAAAATAAGTAAGGATGTTAGAATTAAAGTTACGAATACACTCTACAGCTTACTTCTATTTTATTTTTACATAATTATATTATCGATGTTTCATTTACATCTTCTGTAAAAAAACCTCCGATTTTATATTAGAAATACGTTGAAAACTTTTCATATTGCCCTTCTGACGAAGAGGTATTGGAAGCTTTAAAGAAAATATAAGCTCATACTGACCTATTTTTGTGACAAGAAGACATTTTTTATTATATTCCAGTTACTTTTATAGAATATAGTCAGATACTTTGTGATAATTTATAATTACTTTTTCTAAATATCAAAGTCTAACGAACATACGAAGCTATACATATAATGAAAAGATTGTCTTGTATGTTCTAATTGATAATGTTTGTAACTTATAAAAGTAATCTGTATTTTATTGAAATATCGCGATTTATCTGAGTTACACTTATTTGAAAATTGTTTTAACTATGGCCCGACGTTTCGGATTCTTTACAGCAGCCGTTGTTATCACGGTAAATAATTTTCAAACAAATTTAACTAATATAAATCGCGATTTAAACTGTTAGAGTGTTTTATTTACTCTACTCTACTCGCATAAACTACAGGCACTATTTATAGTCTATGTGGCTCGTTTTTTTGGTCATACGCAAAGAAAGGAAGACATGAATTTGAATAGCAAAACGTAAGCACAAAACTTTTCCATATGGATAGAACTATCTGTTGCTAAGTCACTTTACCTCATAACCGTATATTGTAGTGACGCATAACCCGTAACATCCTTATCTTAGAAGATAGATATTAGATTTGTTCCATAGCGTTGGATCTTATTATTCTAGTTTTTAGACACTCTTTGGCGCCGTGCCGAAATCGATATAGATAATATTAGTAGCGTTTTGTTCCTAGTATTTTTGTTCCGCGAAAAACCTTTTCACGTTGGTATTATGAGATTTTGTTTTTAATGATAGAGGCGGACAGACACGGCGTGGTTATACATGTCTAAGGTACAATGCGGTCATTTTAGACGGTTTATTCGGTTTTACTGTCAAGTGACGTTGTAGAGTAATCAATTTTAGCTACGAACTTCTAATATAATTATAACTTCTCTTGACGAGAGCCGAAAAGTAAGCAACATAGATCGATTGACACGTATCTCGTCTGGCTCGAGAAATTTCTAAGACTAGGTTATACAAGTAAACTGACTTGTGATTGATTTCCGAGGAATAACAAACTCAAGAAGCACTGGTTTGAATTGAAAAAAATATTTCTGTGTAGGTTAAAGTATCAATCAAGGATAAAATAGGCTATAAAACATTCCGCTGCGACTAATAGGGGCAAAGACACAGCGGGAAATGTACTATACTCAAAACAAATGTATGAAAGAAGGATTACTCTTTAAATTATCTAAAAAGTGTCCGCGACAACGACGCGACGTTGCAAGAACGACGGGATACCGACGACATCGTGGGCCTTTATTAATAGAGTTCAACAGAAAGTTTACAAAAAAAAACGTGATGCCAAAAATAACTATTCTACGCGGACAAAGTTACTGACACAGCTAGTTTAAAATAAAGTGAAAATGTTTCAAGTCACATTGATTTCTCTTTTTCAAAACTGATCCTCTAAAAAGGATTTTAATCGCAAGTAAAACGGAAATATCATCCGAGTCACGTACCATTCCTAAAGGAAAAAAATCCCTACATGGATTTTCATCTCCAAAAGGAAAATTTTTTTGATAGTACGTGCCGCTAACAGTAGCACAATTTTAAACCATTGAACGGATTATTGCTGCAATGTTAGCAGTGTCCGGCTTATAGCTTGTGGGTTCGATTTCCACGAACACATGTGTAAATCATATTGTAATTTTTCTTAAAGAATTGGTATGTGAAAATTTTGTCTGGATCGCTATCGTCACTCACGCATGGGAAAACAGCTGAGAGTAAATTCGAGTTTCGTGATTAATGGTTTTCCAATGTCAAAGGACGCTAATGCATCTTAAGCTGACATTATGAATCTATAAGTGCTTTTCAATTAAGTAAAGATTAAGTTAAAATTTAAACCTTACGGTAGCATTACAAAATTTAGGGATAGTGAGATCATTATTTTAAAATAAGTACATATTTTTAATAAAACACTATAACGGTATAAAACACGATAAATATTACTTACTTAGACTTATTTGAAAATTATTTTAACTTCGGCCCGATCTTTCGGCTGCTCGAAAGATTAATTAATATATATGCTGTTTTGTACCTGTAAATGTGTACTGCTCCCGTAAACTACAGACTGTATTTAATAAGTACATAATTATGTAGACAAAGTTGCTTATTGCAAAAGTAATTATAGCGAATATTTCAGCTGCTGAAAACTGCGACATTATTGCTACGACGTTACGTAGACCACGCGCAATAAAATACTCATTTGAATTCTGAAAGTTTCATTAACCGTATAACATATTGTCAGTGTACTTCTCACAAAATGAATTTGGTTTATGAACTATGATATATGACACAAATATACAAGACTTACGCAGTGACGAAGAGTTTCCTACCAGTAAAGCCATTCGCGTTTGATTTTTGAAATTAAAACTTCAGAGGCGGTATTTTTTTTGTTTTGTTAATGGAATTGAAAGCGAAATGACCTAGCCTTATAGCATCCAGCACGATGCACTGTCGACCAGTTTATTCTCTATGTCATTATTATGCAATGAATAAACATATAAATGGTAGTAATTTTATACGAAAGAGTAAAATAACTCGTAAAAAAATATTCCCTAAATATTGAAAACTAAAAGTTCAAAGATTCAAATTTTTACTTCTGCTAGCACTGCTACCACTCTATATTAGGATCTGCCTAACTTTACTTAGTGACTGAAATATGTAGGTAAATATGCAAAAAAAAAATCATTAGGGTATTGTAGAATCTACTGAACGCACAAGTTTTCTCCCTTGATTTTATATCTGAATATATAAAAAAACTTTGAAAGCAAGGAAGTTTAAAAGTTAAATGAGGTATTAAATGTGCTTTGGAGTGTACGAATTCTAAACAAATTTGTTTGCTTTTCTGACGTTTTAAAAATTTGAAGAAAAATATTTTGAAATGATTTTTTATGCTAATACAATGTAATAGAACATATATCTACATACATAAAGAGTATTTACGTTAATATATCGTAACATGAGTAATAAAGATTTTAGATTCAATAAAAAAAACATATAAATATTGTAATCCTTGTAAGCACAGATGAATGCAACATCGTATAGAAGATTACAAAATAGTTTATTTTTAATTAAAAATCGATTATAAATTAGAAAATAATACGACTTGGACAAAAGTTGAACCGAAATTCACAACATCCCGTGCTGTTTCTCACCAATTAGCTACAGTGTCTTATACATCGTCGAATTTTTTCAATCTATTGATACACGCACCTCTCGCGTAATGTAAATTCAACCTCAACTTTTGCGCGGTCAGACCATCAGACCTATATTTTACATACATTTATATTAAAATTTTGAAGCTGCAAAAATTTGAGCTACTTGTTTTTTATAGATGCGCGAACTTCGTCATGAGAACTTGACTCCATTTGTTGGCGTCTGCGTTGAATCGGGCAGCGCCTGCATCGTCACAGCTTACTGCTCAAGAGGCTCCTTGGCTACTGTCCTGGCTGATAGAGATCTCCACTTGGATGACATGTTCGTGGCCAGTCTGGTAGCCGATCTGCTCAGGGGTCTGACGTACTTACACGACTCGGCTCTCGGTTCCCACGGCAACTTGACATCGAGCAATTGCCTCGTTGATAGACGCTGGGTGCTTCAGATTTCGGATTATGGATTACACACGCTTAAAAGTAAGTGTCAGTTACATTTAATATCAGGTATACCTCAGAACTTGGTATAACATGGTTCGTTTGTTTGTTTGAAACATTGTTTTCTTGGTTTGAGTATACTCTGCCTAATTTCAGAGTAACTGTAATTAGGATTTACTAAAACAATAATATTTTTAATGATTATGTTTAAATTATTATTTTTTGAATTGTCACTAATTCTGTTTAATTTTTGTGTTAAGGCGGATGTGCAGACACAGAAGATGCTTTACGAGTGGAGAGAAGAATGTTGTGGCGAGCTCCAGAACTACTTCGAGAGCCGAACCCACCACCACGAGGCACCCAGAAGGGTGATGTGTACTCCTTCGGGATTATCTTGTACGAGATCTTGGGTAGAAGTGGGCCTTGGGGAGACACTAACTTGACAAATGCAGGTCAGCAATAATAAAAGTCTCCTACCATAAAAAACCTTACTTACTACTGGTTTTTAACTTAATAGAAATGAAAGTCACTCGCAATATGTCAAGAACCATTTCTGAATTACGACGGTCGAACAACTCAGAAATTCGTTGGAAAAAAATGCAAAGTATTGTCTGTAGTTTACGCGAGTCAAATTTAACTATGCTAATGCGTAGCCGCATCTTTCGAAACGATTGATAAAATCTTATTTGAATTTTTTTTAAACTACGACCCGACGTTTCGGATGCTTTGCAGCAGCCGCGCTCACGGCGAGACCGACGAGGAGACGGGGCCGTAGTTAAAAAAAAACAAATAAGTTTAACTAATATCTATCTCGTTTTAAACCGTTAAACTGTTTTTATTTAATTTACATTTATAGTAGTTTTGTTGATTCTCCAGTCTTTTAATCATGTCTTATTATACATTCATACAAAAGTATGAACGTGTAAAACTTGGTATATGTTAGGGGTAAAATGGCTTCCACTGTAGGCGGGTGAGACTTAATTAAAATAACATACATATTTATGGGAAAATCATTATATATTCAAAATCCTCGCAGATCCATGGCAACGAGCAAGTTATATTTTAAACACATGAGTGTTTAAAATAAGCTTATTAATATTTTCAAACACATTTATTATATAAATAATATCAGAATTTTAGTTAAGTATCGACTGTGACTTGCGCAAGTGGCAAACAAGAAAGTGCAACAATATTAACGGTTTTAAATGCAATATACATTTAACAACAAGCCGGTTTCATAAAGTAAGATAAACCCTGTATCTTTAGTACCACCGTCCAGCACTGCGTTGCAGCTGCAAAGCATCCGTTGGATCGTGGTTGAAATTAAGTTAACTTATGTTTATAAAAATAATGTAAATAAAAAATAAATAAAAACTATATAACAATAAAAATATAAATGATTTTATTTGGAAACGACACAAACAGTCACAAAACAAAAGATTACTTAAAACGTTAAACACGTAGACCTACAGTTTTACTTAGTTATACATACTTGACGAAAATACAAAAAATCTATAACACAGTAAAAGAAATATCTAAAAGTAATAACAATCATTTTGAAACTACGACTTAAGTATTAATTTAGATACACAAGTTTTGTATTTAAAGATACCACTTTAACAAATATCGACTGAATTAAAATGTTTATTATAAAAATCACAGCTTCTTAAAATGAAACTATTTTTCACGTAGTTAGTGCTCGCTATGGGAACGTGAAACGTCTCCTTGATGCGGCAAGAAGAGTGGGGGACTGTAACTGTGGACACCGATTTGCTTGAGAATAGACATAGAATCGATACTGCTATGTATTAGTTTGTACAGACAAATAGCACCTAAATAGTCACGGCGTGATCTTAGCGACTTGATGTTGTGTCTGTTCGAACTCAATTCATAATTCATAAAATTCAAACCTGATTTATAATCCAATCTAATAATTTCAAAAGTGTTTTATTGAAATGAGATTATGTTTGTAAATTAGGTCGTACTTTCACCAAAAATATGTTTGACTCCGTGTGTTTTTAATGATAGAGGGGGACAGACTACCTTCACTTGAGTAGGTGATATGCGCCAGCCTATAGCATCTAAATAAGATGCGCCGTGGACCTGTTTGGACTTTGGATATTCGGATATCCACAGGCTTAAACCGAAACGCAATTAAGCTTCACGGCTTTTTCACCTGTGGATGGTGGTTCGTGATCCGGACGGAAATTCACCCGTTAATATCCAGATTTCCAGACGAAGTCCAACAAGTTATAGAATAATTATAAACTAGAGACGTGGTTGACTCGGTGGGAAGCGAACCCACGACGCCTTGGTTTACATTAGCCATACATTGCTACCCACGAGCCCATCATTATTCATAATCTACTTTAAAAGTGAACTGCGAGATAAAATCGAAATTAAATATTTATTATATATCAAAATAGAATATCTTCGCACAGTTTGTATTATCCAAATGAATCATGCACAAATGTGATAAAAACATACAAGATTTAAATAAAACACTTTAACGGTTTAAAACGCGATATATTAGTTAAACTTATTTGCAAATGATTTTTAACTTCGGCGCGACGTGTCGGATGCTTTGCAGCAGCCGTGGTCACGGGGAGACTCCCTGTTTTTTACCGTAACCGTTTTAAACCGTTAAAGTGTTTTATTTAAATGTGTACTACTCGCGTAAACAATAGACAGTATTTCACATACAAGATATAAGATAATACAAAAAAGGTAACGTAGTCTAATTTGTTACAGATCAAAGTACTCACATCACACTTACCGTCAGTGTATAACCTTAATAACCAAAAAAGCTTCCATTCGTCGATCGTGATTTACGACTCAGCAGAAATAGATTTGATCGCACCCTCAATTTCTTCTTATATACTTACGTCATTGGGGTTTAATTTCTTTTTACTATTTTCATTCATTAATTTTTTTTTACTTTAACATTAGGGACATCCTCCATCAGTCTCCCCGTGATCACGGCTGCTGCAAAGCATCCGAAATGTCGGGCCGAAGCAAATTAAATCATTTTTAAATAAGTTTAACTAATATCACGTGTTACGAGTTAACATCTCCTGATGATGCCGTCCACACGTGATGGCGGAACGTCGAGAACCTTTTCTCGCTCACGCCGGCCGAACAGCCCGAAAGACAATGATATGCTGAACGATGACCGTGAAAGCCTTACACAATTTAATTTTTCAATATATTGCCAGTAATATCTTTACTCGTTTACATGACTGTGTAAATAAGTAAACGTGAAAAATAATATCTTAGGAACAGGCATGATTTGAAAGGGCACAAAATTGTTATCCCTAATCCGTCTCGTTAAGTTTTGATAAAGGATCAGGAAGGTTTTAAGGGACAGGTACAATATGTGTAGGATTACCAAACATACGCAGGGGGAGGGGGGAATCGGGTTAAATGTTCAGCCGGGGGTGGTAGCAGATCACAATCTTTAATTGGTGATAACATTAAATAATATATCTGTATGTCATCCGTTTCGTAAGCCATTTAATAATTAATAGTGATAGAGTTATTATTAGTTTTATTATTTTTCAAATGTTACTGCACATCATGATTTTGATTGCATTATATAAATGGAAAATTGATTTAGATCGAATGACGACACGGGTGAGACTCGAACCTGCATCCACAGCGTTCCGTGCTGCTGTTTTTACCAATTAAGCTCCCGTGTCGCACCGTTGGTTACCATTGCTGACCGTCAAATTCGATTTTTAATATAAAGGTTAAGTTTATTGAGACGATAGAAGTAGGAAAAGGAAAGAGTATGCAGATATGTCTTAATAAATGTAACGGTATCTAGTTCGTATATTACAAGCACGTACAAAGTATATGTTATAGCTTGAATTTAAACAGATGGCAGTGGTTTAGGGAAATTCCGTTACATTTTATTTAGACCGTAATAATCCACTCGACTGTTCAGTGGATTTAAGTCATAAATCTCCTAACTCCTACAGATTTCAGATAATAGAACAATATCCAAGTGAAATTCCTAAGGTCACGTATTTGTGACCTTATCTGTCCATTTTGTTTTGATAGAGGGCAAACGTGGGGTTCAATTCATGGAAGGTGAAAGCCAGCCAAATAACATCTCACACAATGTGATGTCGACCTATTTTGTCTGTACATATTCAGAAATCTATAGACTGCAACCGAAATGCGATACTTTACGGGTTTTTTACCTGTCAATCTGCAACTTATTTACAATATGAATTAATAAGAAACATATTGGACATTGTGGAGATCGAACCCTTCACTCGTCTATTATGAGTCGTACATTTTTATCATTAGACTAAACTAAAGTAAGCATATGATAAAGTATTTTTTGCTCTTCTATAAGAGCCGTTTTGATATTCCTTAGTAAGAAACTAATGTAGACAGAACAAGGACTCTTAAATATTAAATTAAATGTGTCAAATTTAGGGCACGAGTGGCAACAAAAGGTGTATTGTTGAATCTTTTATTAATACCTTAATATTTCCAAGTCATCGAAAGGAAAACCTATTGTTAGAGGAAAATCTTTCGTTTATGATATCAATCATTGAATGAGATTTTTTCCCTGGTATGTGCAACTCCAATTAATATTTGAGTATTATCCGTTTTCCTCTATGGAGCATGGGGCGAACACATTTATGTGTCCATTTCTTTGATCAATTTTACAATCGTCCTAGGATTGGAACCCCGGATACAGTGTTTAAGGCAATCTTCTAACCATCGAGCAATAAAGATATTCCGTTTATCAATGACTGGTGTGTAAAAATAATAGTGTATAAAATATATATAATTTAACTGGAAACCTTCTTGCGTGCCTACGCTATATAATAGATAATCTGAATTTAATCACTTAGACCAGAGCTATTACATTGGTTAGCTTGAAACATCAACGCTGCGTTTATGTTTTCAGGGTAAAAATGGGGCCTATTTTAGTTGTAAAAAATAGTTCTATTAACTAAATAAATATATTAACACAAACACTAGATTCCAATAAAAAACATACATACCGATTACAAACACCGCGAGGCAGTGCTGTAAGCACGCAGCTAGTTTCTTCAAATACCAAATACGACGTAACAGATGGCGCCACCATAGAAAATTTGACTTTGATATTCATATTTAGACTTCAGTCCCGTGACCACGGCTACTTCAAAGCATCCGAAACGCGGCCGTAGTTAAAATAAATTAAATACTTCGCATGTATATATTCCGCATTTTAAACCGTTATAAAGGTTTTATTTAAAAAATCAATGTAATTGAAGTTTCATGAAGAGCACTGATGCGCAGTGACCTACATAAAGGGCGGTCGTTGCGCCAGACATTGTAATCAGATAGCGTCACTGTACGGTGAATACGATAGAAATCTTTAGATTTAAAATTAAAACGAATCGAAGAAGCAAACGCCTAAAGGGCTTAACTATGTAATTGTCCTTTCAGCCTTTTTGATTCGACTGCGAAGGGCCCAGGCTGTTAAAATGAAGTCTTAGAATAGAACTCGCTTTGTGTTGAGACCTGTAATATCGCAATACTTATTAGCAGCGCTTTCCAAATCCTTATTATAAGCCTACTAAAATCGCGGTGGGGTGGAAGGAACGTAAATTGGGAAAGATGACCCACGAGGCTATAAATATGCAATGATAGGCTGTGGTTTAATACGTAGAAGGCTTATGGTGCAAGTCGAGCGTTCACATAATTATGATAAAGTTTGAAAATATTTATACTTTACACAGTAATGCAATATATAAATAAAATCTATTTAAATAAAAAAAATATGTCTCTAGCGGGACTTTTACCGGTATCCACACAGGTTCAAATTTTTTTATTTGAACTTTTAATATTGTTACAGTAAACTCATAAGTACTAAATTGCGTCAATTAATCTACATTTCTATACTAATATTACAAATGCGAAAGTAACTCTGTCTGTCTGCCTGTCCGGCTTTAACGCCGAAACTACTGAACCGATTAAAATGAAATTTGGTACACAGATATTCTAGAGCCTGAGAAAGGACATAGGACATACTTTTTAATGGCAAAAAAGGATTGCTAGGGGTTGAAAAGGGGGATGAAAGTTTGTATGCAAATTCGTAGACGCTAAAACAATGAAACTTTCTTTTTTGGATTTTTGGGAATGGGAGTGAGTGTAAGAGTGAGAGTGGGAGTTAGAGTTTAGGTGCTTGCCTTGAATGCGCCCTTTTCGATGACATGCTTTGTAAAACTTTTTGCTGTACGAAAAAAAGGTAGTAAGGGGTTGAATGAGGAATGAAAAGTTGTGTGGATCTATTATATATCTATGAATATTTTTTATAGAATTAACTAATATAATAAAAGCGAAGTAACTCTGAAACACTGTAATATTGTTTTTTCACATGTGTCTTATTAAATTTATAAAATAAATAAATAAACAGCGTAAATAATTAAAATTCTACCCAAAGTCACTATTCTACGCGGACGAAGTCGCGGGTACAGCTAGTAATAGACAAATCATAAATAGATAAGAGATAGCAATCGGTACCAGTCTCAGCTGTGCAGCTGAATGCTTGTCACACTCAGCAGTGTTGGTTTTCAGACTGACCCGGGTATAGTAAGAGTGAAGTCTATATATATAATAAGGTCTAAGATTGATAGTAAATCCATAACATACCTACACATTATCGTACTCTTTTATTATAAGACAGAATTAGACATCTGCTTTCGAAGGAGGTATATCCCCTTCGAATTATTAAATTAAAATTTTCCTTAAGAAACCGTATCGGCATTCAACATCAAAATTATAGAAAGAATCCAAACTCCTGACAGTCGAGCAACTTAATATTAACCTGTCGTCGCCTTCTCAAAACGGCATCAAAAGAATCTAAACAAACAACTTCAACACAACGCAGTCTATTTTCAAACTCCTCTTAAACACGCATCGTTTGCCCAACGATTTTTTGCCTTCAGAGGTCCCTTCTTCCTCAACTTATTCATTTATAAAAATATAATCACCTCATTATCTACTCCATTAAAAAGTATAAAAGTGTTTTTTCTAAAGTTAAAATTATATACAAATAGAAAACCTTATTAGAGTTATTGTATGTGAAAAATGTATTTTGTATTTTAAGTTTAATTTGACCTTATCTATATTATTGTTTATCACTCTACATATCACTAAGCTATATGCTAACTTAGCATGTAAGAACTTAGTATGTGGCTACATCGATGGTTATTGTTAATGCTACGAAAGAGACTAGCCGCCCACGACACAGGGAATCTAGTATCGCGAACTGTACACAATATTTTTGAAGAATAAAGAATTAGTATTTGTTGAATAAAACGCGAAATATATTACTTATTTTAATCTATTTCAACTAAGACCCCACGTTTCGATTTATTACTACTACTACTACGTAATTAATATTTTTATCATAGCTGTGTCATCTTGTTTGTAGAAATAATTGGTCGTGTCAGACATCCCATCGGAGGGGTGCTCTATCGTCCACCGCTCAGTGGACTGACTGCTAGGCCATCTGTCATATCTGTGCTGAAGTCGTGCTGGAGTGAGAGACCAGAGAGAAGACCGGATGTGCGTCTTGTCAAGCTCCGGTTGAAGGACATGCACGCTGGCATGTAAGTATTGATATTTCAATAAACACTTTAACAGTTTGAAACGCGATATATATATATTTATTAAAACCGATTATAATTTGAAAAAAATTATGACTCGGGCAGGACTTGAACCGGCATTTACAGCTTTCCGTGCTGTTGTTCTGTATATATTAGTTAAACTTATATGCTAATTAATTTAACTACGGCCCGACGTTTCCTAATACAGTCACTATTTATTAATTAACGGTATAAACTACGCGTTTGAAACCGTTAATGTGTTATTTAAATGCAGTACACTCCCGTAAACTACAGACTATGATTTAAGTTTCTGGAAACACCAAACTTACCCTTAAATAGGATAAACTAATATTAACTCTTGAATACTTTAATATTTTACACATATAACTCCCATTATGACCGACTGGCTTATTTATTGAATTTCATGAGACTATTATACTCTAAAGTTAATCAGAGCTTTTAAAAAATGTTTTGAAGCATAAGGAATCTAATAAAGGCGCTATGCATCTTGAAACGCTAATAATGTTTCCTGAGATTGTGCTGAGTTTATCCAGTAAATATTTAGCCTTGAGTAACTATTAATTTAAATCGTAACATTACACTGAGCACGAATTTACGTTAGTTTGTAATCAGTAAAGTCTAGGCAAGGTGTAAGTCTAATCTATTACTTCCACCTTTTTATATCATGTTAAAAAAATAATGTTAAGTTAAACATGTTAAAATATATGTAAAGATTAACATAATATTATGTCAATCTTTACATATATTTTATAAAAGTCAAAATAGTAAAGGATTGTTAATTATTTCTATCATTGAAAAAAAAGGCCTTACTTAAGTATGTTAGGCCGTAGAATTATTCTACATAAGCAATATTTAATTCCTTTATGGCCTATTGTTCTTCCGCCCTTCAAAGGAATGAAATTTACAAACTTGATCGTCTAATAAGAAATCGATAGTTGAATATCAAATTACAAATCGGGATTTCCTAGAATGATAACAAACTTTTCTGTAAGTATTGTACATTGATGATAATATCTCAAGTTATTACTTAAAAAGACCATGAAAAACGTCCCAGACGTTTATTATCATATATTATTAATTTTAGTTATTGCATTATTACTTTATGATATTGTATATTGAACAAAAAACGATCGATTATTTTTATGTGAAATCTCGTTTCCCCCTCGTAGGGCATGGGGACCGTCCGTTCCATTAGCATCCCGCATCCGTGTTTTTTAACAGGCAAGTAATTGATGAGACTTCTGTGCCCTGCCTGACCGAAACAATTTTTTGTTTCCCTTGCCCTTGGGATTCAAACCCAGGACCTCTCGGGCTTAACGCATAGGCGATCATCAAAAACAATCGGATAATAACTACATATTCTTATAAAGTAAAATGCGTCAAGGTTTTCGAAACGCGCAGCATATCGACAAACTGACCGCATCTGGTTTGTATTCTGTGGAAATTGAAATAAATGATTGTGATCAGAAAAATAGCTCGCCTATCTGTCTGTAAATAAATTTGACAAGTAAACTAGAAACAGATATATTTTTCCACGAATTTCGATCTAACGATACAATGCAAAATACAAATAAGTTTTGAAAGCGAAAAGTTAATTATAAGAAATATTTGACAATTGTGATATTATAATAAGATAAGATCGATCGATATGATTTGATAAGATTGGCACTTTTTCTCTACTTTGACTCATAAAAGTTTTCTAACATTGTTCGACGTAAAACCTTTTCTATTTATAGCCTGTCGACAAGGGAAAACTAGTGCACCCAGTCCATAGCCCTGATAGGAGAAAAGTGACTTTGTCAACCTTATTATATGTTACATTATTCGTACCTACGGTTTTTTTTAATCGATTTCTTGTTAAACGGTTCTTAACGGTTTAAAATGCGACACATATCAGTTAACTTAATTACAATGTATTTTAACCACGCAACTACTCAATACGGCTAATAGCAATCGCCTTCGTGACCATGACTGCTGCAAAGCATCCGAAACTTCAGGCTGCAAATAAAATAAGTTGTAAATCCGTTAACTATTAACGTCTTAAACCGTTAAAAAAGTTTTATTTAAAATGTGAATTACTCGCGTTAACTACCGACGGTAGGGACATGGTTTACTCTGTTTTTCGGAAGTCAATTTATTATTAATTATTTATATTTATATACAATAAAAGTTGTTATATGTTTCACAAACTTTACAGCCACGATTAAACTAAGCCAAGAAACATTTAAACAGAATGCATCGTCAAAAAATATTTTTGCTTTTAAATAAAACACTTTAACGGTTTAAAACGCGATATATTAATTAAACTTATTTAAAAATCATTTTTAAATAAGTTTAACTAATATATCGAGTTTTAAACCGTTAAAGTGTTTTATTTGAATGTGTACTACTCGCGTAAACTATAGACAGTATTTAATATTTCAGCTTTTTTCGTGACATTCCCTTATAGTTCATTATTGCAATATCCTTTTAGATAAATAATAAACATACGTTGCTAGAATTTTAAATGGTTTGAGATCCAATATATAATTTAAAGCCACATTATTGTGTCGGAAGTTATTAATTACAGCGAGTAAGCGGAAAGAACTTCATGCATAAATTAAAAAGAGAAATTTACAAACTACGATGGGCTAGTGAAACAATTTTGTATTTCATGTTTTTAAAGTAATGATGACTTTATCTGACCTTTTTTAAGAAAGTTTGACGTACTTTGCAGCTAATGTTTTAGGTTCACAGTGTGAGTGTGGGTATATTAATTCATATTATAAAAGATCATATTTCATCCTTTACAGTATACTGATCAGACCTTTATACCAGTAAAAATAATTTTTGACTTTGACCACATAAACTGTCCTGTACAAAAATAATCTTACCAGTATACTCTCATTAGAAAGTTACAAGTCCAAATTAGAAGCCGTCTCTTATTATGAAGTAAAGTTATATACCTAAATGCAATTAAATAATCGGAAACAGTTCCCTAATAAGTTACACTGAGAACATTTTGCTTCAAGTTAGAAACACAATACAACTAGTACAGGTTTTTTTTTTACAAATGTGTGGTATATATTATGTTTTCTAAGTTACAATCTTTTCGATGATACATCTTAATGACATAAATTTTTAACAAAAAACATAAAACAAGTGAATAAGTGTAGCTATTGAAGACCAGAATTCTTTTGTTTTGTTGAATTATCATTTTTCTGGTCAAATCAAAAAACCTATCAATCAAAAAAGGAAATAAAATATTCAGCGACCGCTTAATATTCCATCCGAAACGATATTGCTTACAATTTATAGGAGTCACATTTGTTTCTCCGAATTTAATATTTGACACGTTACTATCGATTCCGATGATCCTAGTCAAAATTGACGTATGACACTTACTCGCGACAAAGGATCAGTTTATTGTATGTGATAATACATAACAAACGGGGTTATTATAAGGTAAAAGAAATAATATATATATATATATATATGACTTTTATTAAAAAACTGTATTCACATCTTTTTGACTAATTATAATGTCACAAGAATGTTAACTATGCCAACGACATTTATTTATTATACAACAATTAAAAATGGCAATAGCCAGTTACATTAATTGGATTTACAATTATTACAAATTACATTAGGAGATAACATCAAAAGCAGACAATTCTTTTAGTATTGATGACCAATCATCTGCGAAGAGGTCGCATTTAGGTCTTAACTTGAGGAGAGCGTTGAGTGAGGGCAAAATTCGCGGTATCGGTGAAAGCTCGCGGGCGGAGGTGCGACATTTTGGGATGTCAAACAGATCGTGTCTCCTAGCGCACCCATAGTTGTCCGGGTCAAACAGTCGACAGAAAGCTTCCCTCAAATAAGGATCGTCGATTTGGTTTCGAAACAACTTACAAGCAATAGTAAATATCTTCTAATAAGTTAGTACAGTAAACACAGTAGATCCTTCTATGTCCCAAATTGGTTTATTGAAACAGACGTGTGATTCAGCTTAGGAACAAATAGACCGAGAGTGACGTGCGGAAAATTCATAGGCGGTATCCGTTAAAAGGAATTGGAAAATAACAGGTTTAGATGCCAAGAAGTCCTTATAAGCACAGACTGCCGTATAAAATAATAGCCATTTGTACATATCTGTAGTATATTTATAAACTATAATAATATATTGTTTTTTACCTTTACAGTTATATTTAGAAATAAAATTTTTGTATTAAAGACCTATATAATTTTCTTTACTAATCTATTATAATTTTCTAAACGTAAGACATTATTATTTATAAAACTCCTAGTCCGAGTTATGTTTAGACAGAAAGGTGTTTTATTAAAGTGAAATAAACGCTTTACTAAAACACGATCAGTGTGTATATAGCTTTAAATATTTCATATCTAATGTGCATGTATTATTTTTGTTTAGGAAGACGAACATATTCGACAATATGCTCTCAATGATGGAAAAGTACGCGTCCAACTTAGAAGCATTAGTGGCTGACAGAACCGAACAACTTCTGTTAGAGAAGAAGAGGACTGACGATCTCCTTAATAGGATGCTACCACGGTATTATTATATTGATTATACATTTTTAAGAATATATTGAAATCTATATTTGCCATATGGCAAAAATGTTGCTGTTTACCAGTTGATTAAAACTTCGTTTCAAGGAAGATATAATATATTTCTATATTACATAGCCCAGATTTAAAAATCGAAAATAAATTGAAAACAATTTTCGACTCGGGCAGAAATTTTTTTTCAATTTATTTTCGATTTTTAAAATATATAGTGCCTTCATGTGCAATAACATATGAAAAACAATAAAGTTTTCAAATAACCCAGAATTGTCAAAAGGTTTGCATTGTGGTAAGGTAAAATACCAAAAATTATTTATATGCAGAAAATCGATAACTGTTTAAGAGAATAATTCAGTCTATGAAAAGGCATCGCCTCTCCTGAAAAATAAAAAGCTTTGCAAAAATCAAATCAATTCGTACAAGACACTATAGTTACTATCACAGGACTAAAACTAAACTAAATGATGACTCTAGTATTTAAAACCCGCAAACTCCAGACATAATCTCGGTTTTACGACGCCGTGACATGTATAAATAATTGCGCTCGTGTACGTAGTGGGTAGTTCAAATGTTTAATAACTAGTATTATAATAAAATAGGAAACTGCTATTTTGTTACTTTATAAAGAGCACGTGTTTCAGATACGTAATTCTATCTAGAAACATTGTAGTTTTGGTAGAAAAGTTAAATTGGGCGCTGAATTTTAATAAATTTATTGCCATTAGCTACACATAGAAACTTCCACGTGCATTATTTATGACATTAAAATTAAGTATATGTACTACGGCGACTAAGCTACCGTTTAGTACGAATATAAAAAGTAGTGAGCACTACCGTGTTTAAGAGACGTTCAATAAATTCGTCTTTTTACAAAAAATTTAATTCACTTTACATAACAAATGATATTAGATTTTAAATCAACATGTAATTTCATAATTACTCGCTATGCTTTGTAATGAGATTACACAACTAAACTATGCATTTAACAAAGGGTAAATCATTGAAGTGTTCATTTGTGTTAATTTATGTAGCCGAATCACCGTGTAGCGGTTACCTACGGCGTAGCAAATAAAACGCGGTTTGGCGTAGTAGGCCGTAACAGCATGCGTGAGTGCTACGGGCGTTCTAACTTGCTACGAATATATAGCTGCGCATAATATAATATAAATTGTGCACACTGTATGTGTATAATTTAGTGTTGTAGTTGTAACCTTTCGTATTAATAACGTAGATTAGACTGATAAATAATATCTTATTATCTTAGAATACATATATATATAACAAATAAGGTAAATACTGTCTATAGTTTACGCAAGTTGTACACATTTTAATAAAACACTTTAACGGTTTAAAACGCGATATATTAGTTAAACTCATTTGAAAATGATTTTTAACTTCGGCCCGACGTTTCGGATGCTTTGCAGCAGCCGTGGTCACGGGGAGAATGTGACCACGTTACCGTGTTTTAAACCGTCAAAGTGTTTTATTTAAACAAATAAGTTAATAATCCATCGGTTTGTTCAAATTAGAACTGTCTGAATAAATTGTACTAGCGAGGAGTGATGCGAGACTTGGGATGTGATTAAGTCTAATTATTAATATAAAAGGTAAAGCTTATATACAGAAATGGTGAAAGTGAATATGTATAAAGTCTATATGCAACGACGTGCATTAATACAACAAAAATAATATGCTTACTAAAGACAGTGGCTACATAATAAAATAGTTTTAGGTAAGCTTATTTTGTTCAACAATGTTCTTTTAAAATTTAAAACAATATTGCGCAGTGTACATGGAATTGAGGAAGATTCAGTCAACTATTTCGCAGTAGAGCAGGTTTAAAAAAGATGTACAATTTAATACACGTGCGGCTAGGCGGCTAGAAACATTTATACAAAAAAATAAAGCACCTCGTTAAACGGACTTTACCCAAGAAAGAACAACGAGCTATGAGGAAAATCAAAAGATATTGTAATTGTCTTTTTTAAATGTAATTTCAGTTATTTATCAACAACACCCACATAAGAGAAACCCTGTTTACTTCTTTGTTCTCGAAAAATCTAAATATTAGGTTTAGAAATTCACCTTCATTGAATTAATCTTAGCCTACTGTGTTTTAGCTACCGCAGGTTTTGCTCCATTTTAACAAACCCTTTTAACCACTTTAATATCGTGATAATCTGGTCGTTGATTCGACCCACAAACACAAAAGCTTCTAAACAATAGTATTTAAAATCTACTATGAGTAGTTTTATTACTAAGAGTATAAGTCAAGAGAACAGTCGTATGTAAATTTTGGGTTATAATATAATAATGAATTATATTCTGATACAGCGCTGTAGCAGAAGCTCTGAAGCGAGGTGAACCAGTGCAAGCTGAAAGTTACGAATGCGTTACAATTTACTTCAGTGATATCGTAGGCTTCACCAGACTTGCTGCTACTAATACGCCTATTCAGGTAAGTGGATACTTAGTTTGAATACTTTATTATATTTTAAATGTTATTTCATATTATGGCAGTATATAAATTAAAGATCTATTTAGATTGAAAAAACAAATTACTACGGGCGGCACTTTAGCCGGGACCCCAGTAGGTGAAAGAAAGTCGATGTTGGCGTGTAGAACTCGGTAGCTTAAACGCTGTGGATGCAGGTTCGAGTTCCATCCGTGCCTTATGATTTTTAGTTTGTACACTTAGAATTTAATATTCCGACCAATTAAATGTAATAATCAGACCGCTCGAACTTAATGATTCTATTGTTAACGCGAATTGTATTAAGCTATTTCTCCGAACTTAAATAGATAGGTCACTGTACAGGGCACAAGAATCTTTACTGGTTATCTAGGAATTAATTGATTAGTCAAAACAGATTCGGAAATATCTTTGCTCTAATGCTTAAATAATATTAGTTTGCTCACGACATGTTTTTCCGAAAGTACTATATATGTATGTTTCATTAACTGTAGTTATATATCTCAAATTCATGGTTATAATTTTGTGTACAAGTATATTATAGTTCCAAGTAAATGTTTATCTAAAATAGTCAAAATAGGCCGACGTCGCATTATGTCAAAATGTTATATGGCTGGGTTGTTTCACCTTCTATCAAAGGAATGCTTGTCCCTCCTCTGTCATAAAATATTTTTTCTGTATATTTTTGTTTACAATTCACGTATTCAAACAATCTTGATTCCACTAAATCCTCAATTTGCATGATGGCGGGTAATATTTTTAAAGCAGGTTTACGCTTGCCCGAACTTGATACTCGAAATAAATCTCGATTTTTGTGAGATTACTCAACACAATCACAGCTATACAAAATAATCTTTTTACGTCACGAGTCGATAAGCGCGAGATTTACTTGACTCGGCTGTATAACATCCGGCTGAAATGCATCGGTGACCTATATTGTGCTTCGAACAATCACACTTTCATATTGAAAAGCTTAAAGGTGTAGAGTCATTTTTGTTTCATTTCCGAAGATTTAAGGTTTTCCCTAGAAGGCTCAGACACAAGTCTGTGGAATTTGTTCTTGTATTATTAAATAACTATCCCCGCCGCATAAAATCTAATCAAGATACGCTGTCTACTTATTTTGGTTTGGGATGTGCGGAAATCCATTGGCTGAAAATGAAACGTCATTAAACTTTTTCGTCTGTGGACGGTGATTCGTGACACAAACGGAATTTCAATACTTCTATCGCTCTCTTAGTAACCAGATTTTTTAAAATATATATATTGATTAGAAACATGTCGTACCTGAAGAGAATCGATCATGATTATATAGTGCTAGCAATGAGCCATTAAATCTAGTTTCTAAAAACTAAGTAGACAAAAACGTTTTTATTTTTTACATGAAGGCACTATATAATTTAAAAATCGAAAATAAATTTAAAAAAAATAGACTCGGGCAGGATTTGAATCGGCATCGTCATCGTTCCGTGCTGTTGCGCTACCAATCGAGCTACCGATTTGGTAGCTCAATTTGTAGAGCAACAGCACGGAAGTGGTTGTTAATCATATGAGGACGTTATATGACGAGTCTCTGCATACCTTTAGTCCATAGTATATGTCACATCCAGTCTCCTCATATATATACGGTTCTATATTGTACTAGCTGAGTCAGCGACTTCTCCACATCTTTATAAATTATTGCTGTTACCCAAGACGTGGATCCCGTCGTTCTTGCAAGTTAATCTTAAAAGATATACATATAGCATTGCGGACTTTTAGCTAATTTCCAGAGTTTTGGTATCTTGAACCATTTTTGCAGGGTACACCTCAAAAAGCCATAATGATGAATAATTTTTCCAATTTTTGTTACATTTCTCGCTGTACATTTGATCTACCGACTCCTAGTACCACTATAGGGTTTCGTGCACCCCTCTACAGAATGTGTTCTTCGATAGACTCTTTTGAGAATATTGACCTGACCTCCCGCTCCTCGACTCTTTTAAAAATAAATTAAAACAACCTTATTTTAAAACTTGTTTTTAGTTTTTTTTTTTTGTAAATTTATGTAAAATTAATATGTAAAATGTTAATTGCTCCTAGTTTTAATTGCAACTATAATACTGTAAGTTTGATGCGTATCATTGTTTTTCATGGTCTAGTTGTGTAAGTTATTTTTAAACCTCGATTGTATCTGTGAAACTATTTAAGACAATATCCGTACTCTATATATATATATATATTTTAATTCCTTATAATATATTTCTGCGATATTTCTGATTGTTTCCTGTTTTCTTAAATAAATAAGTATCTTAGTTTGTATTAGTCACAGGGCAATGTTTTATAGCCTATAAGCCTTCGAACTTTGATTTTTTTAAATCGAACCCACAGTGCCTGAGATTAGCGCGTTCAAACAAACAAACTCTTCAGCTTTATATATTAGTATAGATGTCTATAATCCTTGTAAAGATCGATACACAATGCATTATCTATTTGCGGGAAAAGTTCTTTATCAATACTTACTCAGTATCAATTTAAGTATCCATCTAACCCACCTTATGTACACTTTTCAAATAACATAACAAACAAGACTTACGAAATGGAATATATCTCAAAAGAAGCAATATTCCGCGATAAATTTTACTTACTTAGAAACGTGGATTCAGTATTGTGGTTTACGCGAATAGTACAGGTTTAAATAAAACAATTTTAACAGTTTAAAACGCGAAATATACTAGTTACCTTACTTTTAACTTATTAAAAAAAAGTCCGACGTTTTGGATGCTTTAAAGCAGCCGTGTCCCCACCCTTTTTCCACCGACTATAGTATAAATAAAAAGTAATATAACTATAAATATATATTAGTTTAATAGCGTTTCATATAAACGATTCGATTTTCGGTTGCTAAAATTTGTATCTTGTTAACACGAGCTTTTGTGTCTACGTAACACTTTACATAACGTTTACATCGAGTAGCCTATAACCCAATTTTCCTGAATACATCTCAATTCACTTTATTCTACCATATGAACCCTTTACAGGTTGTGGAGATACTCAACGAGCTATACACGTGTTGTGACTCTGTTATATCATATTACAACGTGTATAAGGTGAGTTTCAAAACATAAGTAATTAATTGTTTATAGAACATCCAACGAACCCGATAAAAGGAGAAAATCTAAAGATATTGGTCACCTTTTTGGTGATTTGATGTATAAACATTATAAGCAAACAAAGCAATGTTTTTTCGTAATAAATTATATGTGAATTTGCCTTATGAAATCAGGTCTGTATAAAATAATATTACAAATACATTAAAACCGAATTCAACCCGCGACAAGCACTGTTCATTGTTTTGGTGACAAACTTTGTTAAGAGTTAAGATTAAAATTGATTAACTTTTTTACTTCACTTTGAACCGTTTCTGTTATAGTTTAAAAAGTTTAATACTTAAAACTATTCCTCAAAAATATACTATCAAAACTAGAACACAAAATATATTCTGTTCAATAATAAGGCCAGAGGGAGCAGACTGAAAATCAGCGCTGTGCGATCCCCTTCGTGCAGCATTCAGCTGAGTCTGCATCCCGATGTGCCACAAAATTTTAGCTTAAGAATGTAGTTTTAAGTATTTTGCTGTATTTTTAAATTTTGTAAAACTAATTATTTTTTTCTTTCTTTATATTTTTTTACATTTTCTGCAAACTACTTCACTGTGTACAAGTAGTATAAAGTAATTCCGTTCGATTCCCGCGTAAACATTGTATCAAATGGAAAAGGTACTTCGACTTCAAATAAAATTGACCAGTGAAAAAAGGTATTTTGTGTATTAGACAAAATGTATCATAAAGTGTAGTTAATATTTTTATCTCAGGTGGAAACCATTGGCGACGCTTACATGGTGGTTGGAGGTCTCCCAGACCACTGTTCTCGACACGCGGCTGAAGTAGCCTCTCTCGCTCTTCACATGTTGGAAGCTATACCCAGCATAAAAATCAACAGCCTACCCACAGCTAAATTACGCATAAGAATAGGTTAGTACGGACGTAAGAACAATAGAGTAAAAAGTTTTCACACGTTAGCCTAAGGGCTAACATGTGAAAACTTATTACTTCCCTAAATTCAAGCATTTAAATAAAACTTTTTTTCTAATTAAATAAGTTTTCGCCTGCTGCAAAGCGTCCGAAACGCCGAGCTGTAGGTAAAAAATAACTTGTAAATAAGTTTAACTAATATGTTTCGTGTTTTGCACCGTTTAATTATTATACTTGAATTGGAACACTGTCTGTAATTTACGTGATTAGTATACATTTAAATCACTTTAACTGTTTAAAATGCGAAATATATTAGTAAAACTAGTTTACGAATTATTTTATTTTTATTGAATTTTTTGTCTGATTCAAAGCGTCAACGCACGACGGCACAACTCGTAAACAACGGACAGTGTTTAAATTCAAGTATAAAAATAAGTAAATAATGGTCCTGCTACTTTGTTCACGTGGTTGGTTCTGGTCCAGGGCAGTGCGTAATTTTTGTTGCGAAGTTATTTCTATATTGTCAAATTCTAGGTCTTAGTGTTTAAAGCAAAACGTTATTATAGTCAAATTGTTTGGCTGTGAAATATGATAATTACTAGACGAGACTTCTGCAATACTAATTAGTTTGTATAGTATACCTCCTTGTAATATGTTGGAATAACACAAACAGCGCAGCACGTTCCTACGTGGGTGAGGCGTGATTATTTTGTAGTGTCAATATTGTGTGGAATTTTAATTTTAAATTGTGCTGGTGGATTGTAACCTGGATGGAATTTTCAATATTCCCTACCATCCATCTAATATGCAGATTTTCAGATGATGTCCAACATGTTTCTGAAAAATTATAAATTAAAAAATAAGAAATATCTTGGACCCGGTGGGGGGCGAACCCACGACCCGTTGATTAGCCATACATTGTTACCAGGAGACTAACGAGCCCAATGATAGTACTGACTTTAATATGAAGTCGAGTCGTGTGTCTGGATGTAATACTGACTTAGCGGAAAAGGTATGCAGGTCTAGAACATCGGCTACATATCATAGGCGTAACTGTCCGATTAAAAATTTATATCTCAGAAACCGGCTAAGAGCTAAACCGGTAATCTCGCTGAATTTATTTTTATTTATTTAATAAGGCTTACTAACTAGGTACACAAACATGTAATTAACAACTTAAGCTAATTATAGTAAATAATTCTTTTGTACTAATAATTATGCACGGCGTTGACTACAGTTAAGTGCGGATTTTTCAATTCAACGAAGTTCTTTGTCACTCACGGAATAATTTCAAGTTAATTTACCATTGAGATGAAACAGGGACATTGGCAACCGGCCTCCTCCATCATCATAATTGAGTTGGAGGTAAATGACGCTTATTTTGTCGTAGAAAAAGCGCGGGAAATAATTGTTCAACAAACCGTTCTGCGTGGTCACTCGTTCCACTTCGTTGTTTTCGGCATCGAAGATAATAAGATGTGATATCTTTATCGCAATAATATCTTATAAAATAATTTGTATTTACTTTGTTATTGTGTATATTGTACTAAGTGCGTCCGCGACTTCGTCCACGTGGTATAGTGACTTGCGGTAGAATTATTAATTATTTAGGCTGTTTATTAATTTATGCAAAGGCCAATTAAAGGCATCCAATCTATATCGTAAGTGCTACTTTGCCGTAACACTCTCACCTCACATCATTCCCACTCCCATTCTCATCCCCTTTTTCCCTGATTCTTTTGATAGATGTGATGAGGATAGACAAGAGTGCGGTTCAGTAGTGGTAGGTGAAATACGCTGTCGACCCGTTTTGGCTTTAGATATTTGCATTTGGCTGTGTAGGCCATTTATTTTTACCTGATGCTTTAGGGTGGCTTCTCCAAACGATTATGAAAATATAGTATGACGCCAATACAGACCTTCTCGCGCTTCACGACGCAATTAGTAATTTAGTAATTTTTTATGGTAGAGGTGGCCAAACAAGCACTTGATGAAACACCTCAACCATATATCATCTTTTTATCTGTGGGAAATATACGAATTTTTATATTCTTACCTCCCAATCAATATCTAGATTTCCAGACGAAGTCTAACATGTTTCAGAAAAAACATAAATTGATAAGCAAAATCTTTGACTCAGCGGAGACCGAACTTACAGCCCATTGCTACCATTACATCAACGAGCCTTTCAAGTACACAAGATGACTTTAATTTTCTTTTTCTTTCATCTTTTATCATTATTATTGGATACATTTGTATAGAAAATGATTATGACAGTTTTATTTACTTCAGCATGTGAGAAATATAATAAATTGTCATGGTCTAGTGGAGTACAAAAGGCTGTCCATCTTGTCTATATATAAAATCCATCAGTAATGTTAATACTGTCTACCGCCCTTATAGAAAGCGGTATTTTACTTTTAGTTGACAGGTATTTCATATCATATGTCATACAAAATATAAATAGGAAATTTCCAATGTGGTTCCAATATCGAAAACCCCGTCCAGTTCACAAACCAGCGTCCACAGATGAAAATGCCGTGATAAAACACCTTCCATTAAGTAGACCCCATGCTAGTCTGTCCGTTTCTATCATAAACAACGTCCTAGTCAGCATTGTTGAATTTTGAATACAAATTATATATAAGGCTAATTATTATAATAATATTGAACTATTTCTCAATTGACTAATAGGAATCCATAGTGGACAATGCGCCGCCGGCGTGGTAGGCACCAAAATGCCTAGGTACTGCCTCTTCGGCGACACGGTCAATACTGCAGCGCGCCTCGAATCTACGGGGGAGCCTCAGAGGATACACGTCAGCAACTCTACATATCAGCTGCTGAAGCAGCACGGCGGTTATCGTTTGAAGGAGAGAGGAATCGTCAATATAAAGGTAAAAAATTGTGCATTACATGTTTGGAAACAGAAAAAATCCACGAACTGGAGTCGGATTTACGACTCCGTCCTTATTAATAGAGATACCGTGCCACCGATATTTTTATCATAACATGTAAATAATAATAATAATAATGCTACTAATACGTCGTTTTTGTCTCTGCGTGCATAACCGTTAAAATTACATCGAATGTAAGTTGGTTTAAAACCGTAAAATTTAAAAACTATTTTAATTTAAATAGATTTTATTATACATATAATGCCATCATGTTTATGTATATGGAGTTAAAGCTAATTAATGGTTAAAGACTACTTTATGCAATAAAGCAGTAGCGTAATTGTTTAGAATAGCACCACGGAACGCCGTGTCGTCCTTTTTTAAAATCTAAATTGATTCTTTAATGAAACCATAGCATATTTTCATTTCACAAGCGATAAAAATTGCACTTAAAGATCCTAAGGTCTTACCGGAGAAAACTCGGTACAAATAATAAAACTTGTTTAACTCTTATTGCCTTCGTATTTACATCTCGGGCGACAAGAATAAGGTCGAAATAAAATGAGAAAAGTCTTTCCAACTTCAGTTTCGTGACGCTGCATCCCGGATTTCCACTTTAATTATGACTTTACGTAAACGTCTTTTGTTTTTCTTCGGAGTTAACAAAAGTTCAACATTTATTGTTAAAAAACTGAAAGATGAGATTCTCTTGTTTGTAAAGTGAAAAGTACTGTGATTGTGGATCTAGTTACTGTTTCTACGCAGTTAAAGATGATTATTTTACTGTAGTTGTGTTGATAGTATTAACAAAGTTTGGTATTGCGGCTCATTGACAATAAAATTTTATTCAGCCCTTTATAGAATAATAATTTTCACTGTTTGTGGTTTTGGAAATAATTTACTACGCCGGCCTGTTTCCAAATTGCTCATTGATGACGGTAGAGTTGTTAGTCCGATTGCATAGTAAAATTTTCATTTACTGAAAATTACGATGCATTAAATAAAAAAATGTGACTTTAATGGGTTAATCAAATATAATTTTAAATTGTATCTATAATAAGTTATCTATATGATTTTTTTTAATCCATGACGCTGTAGTTGTGAAATGAAAATGTCACGCTAATTTTACGATCAAAAGTGTGCTGTTTTTTTAGGGAAAGGGAGAATTGAAGACATGGTGGCTGGAAGGAGAAGACCACGACAGGAGGGATAAGCCATTCTATAAATATAGTGAGTTTGTGTGGCTGTTCAAGGCTTGTACCGCTTTCTCTTGTTTTCCAAAGGACATAAGAAATAATTGTCTGTTCTATTTCAGAACCTGGTGCGCAACAACCCCCGTCTACAGACATATACGAGGATAGTCTGTGGAATACGCGTCGTTCGACTGTGAACATACGCGACAGAGCGCGTCTGTCCTGCGGGGGCTCATTAGGCCCCGGATCAGCTCTCTCCTCCCCCGGACGCCCCGCGTGCTCCTGCTTCGTCCCCCAGAAGGACCACCACTCGGCCCCGGCCGTGTCATTCTGTGATGACTGACGCTAACCCACCAAAAGTTGGATCGTCCGATTTGTGTGTTTTCGGAATCTGTGGGGGGTCCCTTTGCCCCGGCTCAAAAGGGTCTTTGTTAGACTTTTACAGCTTTAACGCGGTAGATAGGGTTAATTCGTTCGATGACATCGACAAAAGAGCCAGGGAATTAAACGCCATGAAACGTCTGTACTGCCTCGATGATTTTCATAACTCGTGATTGAGTACTTGCTTTGCTTTGTAGATTGTAGACTGAAGGAGGATAAGAAGGGAACAATGCTTAGGACGATTTAACAAAATCATATAAATAAAATCGATCCGTTAAATTATTAACATGTATTAATAAAATATAGTTAAGTAAATCAGTTCTACGATGCGTTGTAAACGAGGGTTGAAATTCATATTCTATTTAAATAAAACACTTTAACGGTTTAAAACGCGATATATTAGTTAAACTTCGGCCCGTCGTTTCGGATGCTTTGCAGCAGTCTCCCCGTGACCACGGCTGCTGCAAAGCATCCGAAACGTCGGGCCGAAGTTAAAAATCATTTCCAAATAAGTTTAACTTATATATCGCGTTTTAAACCGTTAAAGTGTTTTATTTAAATGTGTACTACTCGCGTAAACTATAGACAGTATTCATATTCTAGTCGCTTTTTTAAACTTATTAACGAGTGCAGCATAGCAATGTAAGGCTCTAGCAAGAATTATTATCGTGAGACAACGACATCTGCGACTTTATGTTACATACTGTGCTGAACAAAGCGAAGCTAAGAAAACAGCTGTTTGGAATATGTTCAGTTCACAACGTAATCTAAACTAAAATACGTTCAGTACTTGAAGAAAAAAACTTTTGCAGTTTGTCTATTGCATCCGACTGATTTTATGTATACGACAAACTAATCATTTTAAAGAAAGCTATTTTAATTATATACTTATTACATTTTTATTCTTGCTAAATAATTTAACTGGATAAGAACTTAACTACGAACTAAGAACCTAACTTTTCTCTGGCAATGCGTAAAATGTTTCATCCATACTCATCTTAATAAGTAATAATATCTATCTATCTATACATACTTTTTCGCGTGTATTGCCATTGGGACTTCTTTTCGAAGCTTAGAATACATCTATTCAATATAAAGCGTATTAAAAAACAAATTAAAATGAAATTTCCTAGATGTTCTCAATAAAAAAACATAAGGCACTGTATATAGTAGATAAAAAATGTCTATTATGGCATAATTTGTAAGACTACATGTTTGATGTTTGTGATCTCATGGGCGTTGTCCGTAGCCTAGTAAGTCTGTCCGTCCCTCAGACACGGACCTAATTATATTTAATGTTTATATACATAATATACAATTTTACTTATATGTAGTTAGATAATTAAAGATTAGGGTCGGCATAATAATCGAGATATTTAGTAAATTAAAAAAATTTAAAGGAATAATTTACTATAGGCAAGAAGCATATGGCTAATTAAAAATGGATAAGTTTTTAATTAATGGATCTCCCGTTTAAAGAGTTCCTAGTTATCATAATGTAATTGTATATTAGCTGCTAATTTATCTATATATATATATACCTACTGCAACATAGATAATTAACAATAGCTATTTGTTCAGTCAAACAATAAACTGGGTACTGTGACTGGTCTATTAAGCTATATCATGACTTGAATCAAGCTATATTGTGATGTCAAAATTAACTTAAAACACATTTTTTTAAGTAAATGGTTTAGACTCTTTACATTGTGTAATAGCTTAATTCCTAACTTTACCAAGCTTACTCATTACACAGTATTTGTAAATGTAATCCGTATACATTTTTATGGCCTAAAGTTATCATAGGTTAATTATTGTGCCAGATACGAATGTCAAATTAACGTAGTTAAATGTCTACATAACTGTTTCTAAATGTATTATTGTTTGTTACTATTGGTTTAATAAATTAATAAAAAATGTTGGGTATTAGTTTCTTCCAAGTTATTAATGATGAGATCTATTTTTCCAGTTGTATAAGTTGCGTAATGTTTTACTAAAATGAGCCAATGATAGACTTTATTTTTATCACTCCAAAATAAATCTATAGAAAATAACGTAAAATGTTCGTAAGCTATTTATTGCAATACTTTATATTAAAATTAAATAATATGAAATAACAGGATTTATTAATGTAGTCTACATTATTAAGTTATACTATTTTTTTAAACCGCGTATCCGCAACTCAAGCTCCAAATATGCTCTCATTGATGGATCGTCAACCATTTTCAATATTTTTTCAGCTATTTCAGGGCCAGCACTTTCCATTTTCTCAGCGAGGGTTTCAGCCCATACTATAAAGACACAGTTTGCACAACCGGACCTACAGCAAGCAGTAGGTGGTTCATCTAATGATGCCTATAATATTACAAAAATTCTTTATTATTTTTCAAAATTGTTTATTATTTTTAACATATGATAAAAGTCAAGATTTTAAAATGTCGAGTCCAGATGTCAAAATGCAATGAATTTTATTATTTTTGATCACCTCAATAGTTTGCTCTACAATTAGTACAGGAGTCATGTTACGTTATTTTGTTGAGGAGGGCACATTGTACTTTTATTATTATATTATTGACTACAATTGAGATAGGAGTATGGGCGCACCATGCTTGATACTGAATGTATCAAATATTTATAGTACTCACATTTCTCTTTATTTTTTCAATTTCTCTTTCTTTTTCTTCATCTGTATTGCTTTGAGTTGTACATTTCCTTAAGCTCTCACCAAATAGTGGTAAAATATTATTGTCATTTCTGCTTATACTACTTACTGTAATGGTTTGTTTAATAATTGACTGAATTTTCTACAAGAAAAAGATTATTTACGAGCTAAGTAATTTTAATTATCTAAAAATATAATGTCCCAAGACTAAAAAGTACTTACAAGCATTATTTATTGCGTTTTTATAATTATTCAGATATTTTTTATGTACCTATATTATAGTGCATCTGACATTCAATCAATCATTGTTGATGTGGTAAAATAAAACTATAGCAGCTCGTTTGCTCCACTATTATATTATATCAATACCTTTTATTTGATTTTACTTTAGTTATGAACTCAAGTAAGTAAACAAATTTTATAAATTAATGAATATTCTTCTCGGTTGGAATTTTGTGTATTTTTATGAGTTGCAAATGAATTTATTCGCCTTATGTAATATTTGAAAACAAATATTTTGAGATATAATTTTAGCTATATGTTATGTTTACTATTTTCAGTATTTTGATAATTAGACATATGACTATTGACTTTCGACGTTTTGACAGTAATACCTTATAATGTTGCAAGTTTTTATAAATTAATATAACATTGCTTTCAATTTATTTTCTAATTATTTTAAGGTCGAGGTTTTTTTAATTAATATTTATATGTTTTTATGCTACGGTTATAAAACAATGACGACTACTAGAAAAGTTCGATTATTTATGCAATATTTAATATTTTAACAAATTATTAATATATGTAGTTCACAAAAAAATACTTGTAATGACTTGTGAATTACACGCAATTTTACTTATATTCCAATAAAAAAACCGGCAAGTACGATACCGTTTTCCAACATCACTAGACCGATAACGTCGCCGACCGCCGAACGGAAGCTTCGCGCACGTCAGTCACTTTTGATCTAGCTATAGATTTTTACTAATTACTAAAAAAATATTCCTTTTACATTTATATCCGCGTTTAATCTAATAAAAACACGCGAGTGGTGCCATATTATTGTGGTTTTACATTGTTTTGAGCTTGTTATTTTATTTTTAAGGTAAGTCCGCCGGTACGGTAACGCACAGCCCGCTTTAGCTTTGGATCGTTGGAATGACGAAGCCGAAAAATGTCTTTTGTTATTGCTTTACGTTACCTCGTAACTGATATAAATATCCCTGTGTTACGAGCCATTTTGTTCGGCTATTCAGATAAACTATTCGTGTATAGAGGCGTTAATAATAACCATTACTTATAAGACCACTGATCGTGAAATATGATTCATTAACCTTTGCAGCAAGTTGATATTGATTACCACGAATGTGTACCGATGCTTTTTAATTGAGATCAGTGTCAGGTACCTTGTGTACAAAGTATTATTTTATTTAGATGACTAAATAGGCCTGCTTAAATTAACCACTTCTGTAATTGCAATGGGTCATTGCAATTACAGAAGTGGTTAATTTAAGCATTTATGCATTGCTTACCATGTCTGTATAGCACATGGTACTTAGGCCACTGTAATCACTAACCCCTCTGGGGTAGCTATTACTGTTATAATGTCTTATTTTTCATAAATTAAAAATTCCAACAAATGAGTCATTAGTGAAGAACATATTGGACAACTGTGTAGTCCAAGCCTTAGCTTTCAAACAAGATATAAAAAAATTGAGCAAGGGTATTCATAAAAGGATAATGAAATATCATGTGGAAGTTTTTAAATTACCATTTGAGGCTAGTTTTATTGTCGAAAAGTACATTAAGGCTTCGAGACTTGATTCAAATATTTTTGTTTTGTAGTAATTATGTCTGGTGAACCAGAGGTAGCCCGTACTCCGGAGGAGGGAACTGAAACTGAAGAGGAGGAAATCAAGTCGGCATACAAGCCACCACCAGAAAAAACCATTGAAGAGATCCTTGCTGCTGACCAGGAAGATGAATCGTTGAGGAAGTATAAAGAGGCTTTATTAGGGCAAGTGCAAGCTGGTCCAGTCATTGTTGGTATGTTTTTGTCAAATTTATAATATATGTATATGTTTCTCTAAAAAGAGATTAGTTCCCTAATATAAGTTAATATAAGTTTACAGAATATTAGTTAAAAAATATTGTGTCAATTATAATTTTGAAGTGTGCATCATGATAAGCATTTTTATCAATAAGAACTGAACGGACATCTCATTTCCAAATGTACTATCTAATCTAATCATTCTATGTCTGACTATTTGGTGTTGAAATACTGTATAATTGTTTATAAACAACATATTATTTACTATTGCCAATTGATTGTTTTCATATATGCACTCTTTATGGCATAACTTTGCTATAAATCCTAAAGAATATTATAAATGCAAAAGTAACTCTGTCTGTTACTCTTTCATGCTAAAACTACTAAACGGATTTGAATCATACTTTGGGGTTAAAAGAGGGCTGAAAGTTTGTATGGAAATTCGTGGTTTTTGAAGCTAGAACAATGAAACTTTCTTCTTTGGCTTTTTGGGAATAGGTGTGGGAATGGGAGCGGGAGTTAGAGTAGGAGTGATGTGAGGTGAGAGCGTTGCGGCAAAGTAGCATTTTCAACATAGATTGGTTGCGATAAATGCGCAATTACATACATTAATAAGCAGCCTAAGTAATTATTCTACCCCAAGTCACTATTTCACGCGAATGAAGTCGCAGGCACAGCTAGTTAGTAAATAATTTAATGCAGGAACAACTTGTTTTGATATTTTGCAACACACAAATATATACAAATAACTATTTAAATATTTTTAACTGTTAAAACATATGAGGCTGCTAGAGGCAGAGTGGCCTAATAACAAAAAACTTGATTTCAATAAAGAGGAAAATATAAATGCACAATTAACTTAGGCAAACATGTACTTTGTGTAAAAAATTAACAATTTCCGGTCATATTGCTCTTGTAGAATAACATTTTTAGACTATGAAAGTATATACATCTCAAGTCATAAAATTGCAGTTAGGCTATTCTGTCCCTTGCGTTCTCATACTTTTTGTGTCCCTCTTATGATGAAAGCAGTTAAATATATAACTTGAAGGCAAAGTACATCCTAGAAAAATGGAAACACATTGCTTTGGAAATTAAAACCCATTCTTCTTTGCACTACAGCTTATTTATGACTTCTCTTTTTCCTTATATAGGATAAATGTATTTAGTAATTTTTATTTCAGACATGTAGGCCATACATTCATGGATTTTTACACATTTAAAATCAATTTACTACTCCTACAGTCAATGTGGAATGGTATTAATGTGTCATTTTGTATTAACAGATGCAAATGACCCTCGCAAGGTGATTGTGAAGAAGTTAGCTTTGTGTGTAGCTGAGCGGGATGACCTGGAGTTGGACTTATCCGGAGACCTAACCGATCTCAAGAAACAGGTGAGAAAATTTTGATTTGTTTTTGAGATTAATGCCATGTTTGTCCACTCTTCCATTTTAAAGTTTTGTTGTGTACTTATGTATGCTTGCAAGTAGACTTGCTCAAATAGTAATTATTCATAAAACGATAATTCGTATTTATCGTTACGTATACTAGCAGAATGAGGTAAAATACATTTAAAATAGAATAGTAACAAACACTTCCTGTTAACTGTAATATAATTCCTGTATTATCATTTTCTCTGTTTTATTGGTTTAAGCAATGAAATATTGTTTACTTTATTCGTATTTGAAATTAATAGAATTTATTGAATGCTTGATTTATCATGAGAATTTGATTAAATCTGTGGGTACCAGCAAGGTTACAGTTCTAGCGGGAAATTGAAAAAGAATTCAATTTCTTGTTGATCATGGCGGGTATTGCCTATCTCGTTTAAAAACTAATTTATGCTCAGTCGAATGTTAACTTTAGATGTATCATGTTGTGGTTAGAATACTCCAACAAAATAATCGTTCGGGTCTTTTATAACTTACATAAAACACCTCTGGTTCTCTAATTACAATAAACATTAATTAATAAGGATTACCAGATATATATGAGCAATCGATTTTTAACCTCTATTTGTTTAATTATTGCTATGGTTAACGCACTTTCATCTTAATGGGGAAATACGACTTATAAGGCATTTTTAGACACGCTAGTATTTCTAGATCATCCCTTGGATAAGATCTAACTAGGCTGAAGTGATCTTTACATACAGTTTCTGTAATTAATCATGTTATTACCGTCGAGTCCAACCTGAACAATTCCTCGCCCAATAACCGTATACAAATGACAGGTGCGGATGGCATTGCATCCATTGGGGCTTGGCTGGACTCCAGGAACGTACCACAGTTTATTTTCCTTAAGTGACGAAATGTTTTAACCCATGTTGCGGGTGTTTTGTCTATTGAAACAGCGATGGTGAATTAATTTTAATACTGGTGTTACGTCCATCGTTTCATTACGTCATTTGGGAGGGGGTAAGCTCGTTTCCACGGTCTAGCTATTGACTAGGGCGGGCAATCATTATTCTCATTGTTGTCCGGCTCGCACTGAATGTTCTGCGTTCAAAACTAAGAAAAAACACATATAGGACCCGACAAAATAACAGAAGATAATATCATAGAATTAAAGATAGAACCTGCAAACAAACTTTAATAGTACTTTGTAGGGAGGGAATGGGTGAAATAGTCAGCAGAGAGTGTCAGTCTACACTGATCACCCTTTATCAGCGTCTTAAATAGATAATAAATTAAAAATGTACACCCAAAGACAACTCAAGATCAGATTCTTTATTCTTGGGAGATCTTCGAAATGCACATATGTTTATTTTTGTTATGGTATGCCCTCAAATTTCTAAAATCAATATATATCAGCCTAAGCCTAAAACTATTATACAATATTGATATTATCTTTTTGACAACTGAAGTTTGCAAACTGTGCCTGAACGTCAACCATTACACCTCATTACTAACCGAGCAGGCTTCATGATGAATGGCTGACGATTAATATTCATTCTCATTAACTAAGTATTTGTCGATGTTAACTGCATTGTTATCGTTAGGTACTCAGTGTATTAGTTAGAATGAGATTGAAGATAATCACAACATGAAAAATAATACGTTGATGCTCATAATAACCAAACTTTTGTCGACTGTTTGCATCGCATTTTCTCGTCTGAAATTACGTATAAGCCTTTTATAGGTCTAGGCCTAGGTCTTCTTCCACATATTCAAACAGAACAGCTTTAACAAGGCAATTAATAAAAAATCTAAATATTTGTAGTATGAAACACATTTTTGTGTCAGATCGACCTTACAGGCTAGTCAACGACTAAAAAACAGCCCGTGAAGTCTTAGCCTGTGAACGGGAGGTTACTCCGCTTCTTACCTGATCGAAACAATGTCGTTTTCCTCGAGATTCGGACGGACTCCAGATTACCCCAGCAAAACAACGAGTTCATCTCACCCACAAAGACGTTTCAAACAAAAACTTGATAATCGAAATATCTATAGCAAAAATAGATCGACAGCGCATCGTCTTAGATACCCCGTGCTTGTCTGTCCTTATCTATCAGAAGAAAGACCTTGATAATAGCATATCCTAAAGTATGTATCCTCTCATTACAGGTGTTCATAATAAGGGAGGGCGTACAATATCGGATAAGAATCGACTTCATTGTGCAGCGGGAGATAGTGCATGGGCTTAAGTATGTACAGAAGACTTATCGCATGGGAGTGCCTGGTGAGTGTGCCGTTGAAATTATTAATAATTGCAACATTGGATATACAGGGTTCAAACTCACTACCAACTTTAGTTTACACCAATTAATCTTTACAGGAAACTTGTGCTGAATAAAACCTTTTATTTTCCCCCCGGGATTAAGATCTGCTTAGCGCAATTCTAGCCAACTCAGCCACAATAGCAGATAGGAGGATTCCTTCATATTACGTACTCTATATTGAAGGACGTACTCAGCTTCTAAGCGTAGTCCCTTTTTCATTTGACTTGACCCTTTTCTGCTTGACTAAGTTAATTATATTATTTTGTAAAATGTACTAATAACATGACAATTTGAACGCTGCAACGGATAGCACCCGGTACGTACCAGATTAGTATTCCGCGCGGTTATTATTAAACGACTATAAATATGCACTTATATTCGTATTGTGAGACATATATAGGCACGCCCCTCGCTTGGGCTTCAAAGTGATTCATGTTTGGCCTGTCAAATATTTGTTTGTAACTGTATTGAATTAATTAACGCAAGAAATAGAGGAACTGAAATTTTATTTAAATTAGTCCATTTTAAAAGTGTAAATTAGAATTATATTTAATTTTAATATTTAGTGAATAAGTTCAAATCACACTAAATTAAAGATAATTAGTTATTTTTCATTATCGATCGAAAAGCGATTTTACTTCTCGGCTTTTTCATCTGTAGACGGTGTTTCATACCCTGGACGAAATGTTGGATATGTCTACTACCTACCATTATTATTTGTTAAGAAGTCCAACATGATTCGAGAAATTCTAAATTTATTAGAAACATGTTAGACCCACAACCCTATACCCATATATTCTAGCACTATTGGAAAGCATCAAAAACGTCAGGTTTAAAAACGAATGAACTAAGATAATCATATTTAAATTGCAGTGGATAAAATGACCCACATGGTCGGCTCGTACCCGCCCAAGACCGAGATTCAGTCCTACACGACACCGCTGGAGGACGCACCCTCGGGTATGATGGCGCGAGGCACGTACTCAGTCAACAGCCTCTTCACGGACGACGACAAAAACGTTCACCTCCAGTGGGAGTGGACCTTCGAGATCAAGAAGGATTGGAAGGATTAGATCCGGCAGGGACTGGGTTAGCTGGCACGTCCATGAGTGAAATCGGCATAGCTGTTCCATTTGTTGTCCCTTTAATTCATATTCTGTATGGCGTGAAGATAAAACGAGAATTTCGTCTGAGACATGTAAAATTGGCTAATAGCAGTAAAAGTTAAAGGACAAATGTTTTTTTTTGTTAATGCAGTGGTATCGTAACGTAACGTATACGCCATAATTACCTTTTAGTTCATATTATGACAATAAGAATGCTTAAAAAAATGACATTTAAAAATATATAACTCTACATATGTATATAAAAATGTATGAGGTAATTTTTGTTCTTAAGTCGATCTCACTCACGGACGTACAAAATAAACGCACATTGTCTATTCCGTGTAGTGCAATCCGTGGTTGTCTATGGTTCCAGTGAACCGAGACCAGAGAGTAAGGAGCGGGGTGCCATAGGGGGTTGATCGACGAACGATTTGAACAGGCGCCTGCCATACAAAGTTATTGTATAAAACTCAAGAAATTTTGCCCTGAGTCATAGCGGATTGCCTAAGCAGAATTGCAATATATACTATATATAAAAATGGTTCGTTTGTTGTCTCCAACAGTTTGTTGCATTTTCGTAAGTACAAGTGATTTGTGATAAACACAAAATTATACTCAAAGCAATACTTAAATCATTTCTACTTTGATTAATACTTTACTCAGTATGATAACAATATCTAACAGACTTGCGCCACGACCCGATACGTCACGATCTAAAAGCTGAAATTAATTACTAATATTCATGATATTGATTTGTAAGATAGAATTCACCTCATTTGAAGGGCTTATTATAGCATTTATCGTCTTTCATTATTGACAATCAAATCGTCAGGTGTATAAATTCCCTAATTTGACTTTGATGATGCATTTCAAATGTTTTGTGATGACTGGGCTATAAATAAAATCCGTAAATTTTTAAGTTAAACATCATTCACAACTTTAATTCTTGATTGTAAAATGCGTTGTTAGTTTAAGATAGTGTAATTTAGTCAGTAGCATAGTGTACTAAATGTTTAATAGTTTTTTGCTCTAATACATATTTTTCGTGGAAACATTACATTTAATTAGACAATAGATTTAATAAAAGAATTACGCGTTTTAACACCAAGGTAAGCTTTGTACACATCAGTGACTTGCATCTGACGTAACTAAGGTACACGATGTATATACCTTAATGGTGTTAAAAAGCGTCGGTAACAAATATTGCAATGCGAAACCGGCATTCCTAACTAGTTTTTTGAGTGAAGATTGTATGGGAAGAATTCATTACGATGGCATTTATAAGCAACATTAAAGAACCACACTTCCACAACATCGTTATCTCCCATACTTTTTTCCTAACTTACCCAATAATCCAATAAAAACAATATTTTCGTGTTTTTAAACCTTTTCTACATTTTTTACTCAGACACGAGAGAATCAACGTATATCTATCCTCCTTTCGCCTTACTTATCCATAAGAGAGAGCGGGACAAATATATTTCTACAAACATCATATAGTATTGATATAAGTCATTGGTGCACGGATATAGTCTATTTTTAATACGTAGCTTCTAAAACCAGTGCCAGGCATGTGGCAATAATGTCAAATAGTATTACTCTTGTATATCATATTTTGTTTATCACATAGTGTGTAATAGGCCTTAGGGCTCGCAAGTACATAAAAGTGTGACTACACTAGGGGAGGCGTTTGCTGATTGATTTTAACTTCTAACTGCGACGTATTATTTTGAATTTGGAATGCGGAAAACACATATTTGTTGTCGTCAATGGTAATATTGTTGTGATGTGTTGATAGATAAACACATAACATCTATGAAGGATAGTACAAGGCATATGGATTTTTTATATGTTGGAATAATTATTTTAATCAGAAAACCTACCCCCGTGTTTTGCATTGGTATTAAGGGTTAAATGTTGGCTGAATTGCTTGAGGCGTGAAAAGGCGAGTTGCTTCGGTGTCTCACTGGTGCTCGGTGAATGTCGAATGTACAAACGTTATCACCTAAATTGTATGCATATGACTATTTATAAGGCTTCATTTTATAACATTTAACCATTTCGAAGTTTTTTCGTGCTGTTGGTGCGTCTACGTTTCGAAGTACATATTAAAAGTTAAACAATTAAATTAGTTCAATCAAAACATTGTATTTAACTTGAATGTTATCTAAAGTACTGCTTAATTTTTCTGAAGCGATCGATCAAAGCAAAGGTGTCAAAAACGAAATACTTTTTTTTTAAATAAATTGCCTCGAAGCGCAGATGTGGTCACAGCATTATATAATTACGTGATATTTTATAATGATCGCATTGTATTCTAGACTTCTTTTACAAGTATTATGATATCGGTTCCTTCTGGAAGCAAGTCATTTTTTAAATTTTGTATGTCTGTCTATAAATCAGTGGGCTCGTTCCATGCCATATAACGTTATTACAATAGTTGTAAAGTTGTATGCAGTGTAATAGTTTGGCCAAAAATAAAGCTTATTTATTCAAGCAGTGTTTTATTTAAAACTCTTGTTTTAAACGATTAGTATTATATAATATGTTCTAAAACTTTCTTTTAAAAAGCATCTATTGTTAACATAAAACACCACCAATGACCATTACGACTAGGCATATTTGAATCTGTCTTAGGACCTTCACTTCTAATACGGTTAAATATGTAATGGCTATATTTAATGAATTTTTGTAAATGATATCTTGTTATATAAGTTGTTAGATATTTACAGCAAGACACGTATTAGCTTAGCTTAGCTTAGTACTAAAACTCTGAGTAAGAGAAAGAGTATTATTTATTTAAAATCTCATACAAATCAACATCTCCGTCCACCTTAATCAGCTCCTTGGTTTGGCCCGGTTTCTTCAGAGCTATCGTCACGAACCGGTCTGTTTTCTGTTTCGGACAAAACACAGTGAGACGAGCCGGTACGTAGCTAACTTCTCGCATCTTTAGCGGCATGGCCAGAGCCATACAACCTCTTTCTGGAAAAGGTATGGACACTTTTAAACACGAAATATACGCCCGGCTGCTGCAAAGCATCCGAAACGACGGGCCGTCATTGAAATAATTTTAACTAACATATTTCGCGTTTTAAACCGTTAAAGTGTTTTATTAAAATGTGCACTACTCGCGTAAACTACAGAGAGTATTTAGGACGTTATTATTAAAAATATTATTCATCTCCACTCTTACCTGGCAACTTTCTTTTGATATTTACGTTCTCGATAATATAAACTCCATTTTTTCCCAACACATTGGACACGGTACGTAGCGCCATCTCTCGTGTTTCCTCCGATTCTAGGCTTGGAGCATCCGTTGCCACGCCCACAACACGAGTTAGATTTCTCGCTATGTACTCTGCTAGCTCGTAACTGAGTCCTGAATGTTCATAATTTTATATATTAATTTTCATTATGTCATTTAATCAGCGTTTAAATTACATAATAAAAATAAATTAAACTACAAATTGCTTAGGATATATGGCATTCAGCAAGCAAAAAAGAAAAATATTTTACGTAGATAGACTTATATTATTTATCTGTCCCTAAAAATTGTTTTAGACTTTAAGCTTCAGCCACATTTCATAAAAGAAAAATAACTATACTAACGAAAGTTGTTTAATATGTTACCTAAATGAACGCATAGTATAAATCTCAGAAAACAAAACTTAAACGTCCCTTGTCTTGTGCGACATTTTTTTGTAACTTACCTGGTATTTTGCAAATACACTGGCGTTTCGTGCTTTTCGATTTCCAACCAAAATTAAATAGCAATAAGGTTGGTTCTCGCGGATCATGTTTTAAAACCATCCACTGTAAGGCGACATCTAGTGACAGTATAAGGGACGAAGATATTTGCTTTGTCATATGGCTTACATCTATTATAGCCACTGAAAATTAGGTTAATTAGTATGTAATGTGTTATCGTTATTATATGGATAAATATTTATTAAAATTTGAATAGGATTCAACTACATATAGTTTGTACAAACAGTCCACACAATTAGTCTAAAAAATATAGGTAAGGTTACAATATAATACATAGAGCTAAAAATTGGTATGAATGTTCAGAACAAAACATTTTTATCCGATTATTTAGCTTCAAAGTTTAATTAAACTGTATTAAAAGTCAAAATAAATTTTACTTACACCTCGTAAGCAAATATTCTGTAGGTATGGTAGCAGGCTGCATAGAACCAAGTTTAGTGGAATGCTCTAGGTGTAGTCCTGTCCCAAGACCAGGAATACCGCAGTTGATGCAAATTTTCCTAGCAGCATGATAATTATACTCAGTGTATGAACGTTCGAGGTATAATTAGATCACGATTAATAAAAATCTTATAGCATAAGAATTCTTTAAATTGTATAATTAAATACCAAAAATAAATTACCAAGGATAATCCTAAGCAAAGCTACAAAATCGTTAAGTAGTTGCCTGATTTCAATATGTACTAATAAAACCTATCGCAGTTTTGATGAACTCCTAATTGTGAAGTCGACTATATTTAAATAAAAAACTCACCAGCCCTTAGCGATCGCTGAATAAAACTCTTCCATATCCTGCCAGGTAGTCGGATGAGTCAGGTCAAAGACTTCTATAATTGGTACATCGTCATCTTCTAAGTACCTCCGTTGCCTCTCACCAGATACACCAATTAATAAGAGAAAAATTAGATGCATATTTCCTGATCTCAAATTAGGAACTGACAAAAATCAGTCGTTAACACAACACAGTACATATCAAACAATGTATTTGAAATTATAATATTATAATACAACAGACTATTGAAATTATAAATTGAATGACCCGTTGTTGACGCTGGGAAAAACTTGCACAGTAGATGGTTTGAATTAACAACTTGCTTTGCAATTTTACGAACAAGATTCAAGAGAACTACTTGCTTAATCCTTCTGGAATGGAACATTGCGGAGGTGTAATAAAAGTGAGACACTAGCTTGTTAATACTTATTCTCACATTTTTTATATTATAATCTAAATTTTTATATATATTACCTCCTCAATGTTACCAATTCTAATAAAGTGAAGAAATAGTTAATTATTTCTTTAAGCGTTTAAACTTTCAATATATTTGTATTACCTTAAACACAGGCAAAATAAAACTATGTCTGAATTTATATGTTTATAATTTAAACTAAAGTATATACAGATAGCTGTAAAAATAAACTTAACATGCAGTAGAAGGAAAAATAAATAGTTTAGTGGCTAAACGTTTGGATTCGTTGGGAAATCACATCTATTATCAGAAATAATCTTAAGCGAATTTTGCTAATACAAAATTACTAAGATTTAAGAAAGGATATTAAAAGATCTAGTGGGCTTATATTGCACTAGGAAGAACACTTAAATTAGTCGATGGTTTACGATTACTTAATACAATCCTGAAGGCATATCTGTCACTTTGTTAAGGCCATAGCTATTCGAACTAACGGGAGAAAATGTCCTCTTCAAATCGCTATAGCTGTGCGTCCCACTCATCACCAGACTGGTCATGCTGGCAGGAGCGTCTCTTAGCATAGGGGACCCAGAGTAGAACCCAGAGTTGCTCCCTCGCTTCATCATGAACGTGTTTGTGAAATTTGTGTCAAACGACCCTGAGCTTAGTTTAGTAGAATATTTCTCGCTTTTAAGCTCTTCTTTTTCATATGTTCGGCTATTTGATCTGGGTATTAAAGGTGGTTCATCGATTTCACTGTTCGTGCGAGAGACAGACCTCTGTCGCTTTTCATACGACCACGTTGTCTTCTGCGGTTCAGGGACCATCACGATATCAACCATTGAATTGAGTCCCTCATCTATTCTGTCGAGACTCTTCGTCAGCTTCTTAGATTCTATGAGGTTTACAATTTCGTCGACTCTACTACACTTTGAACTCGAACGCTGCACTGACGTTTCGATTAAAGACATGTGACTATCAAATATGCTATCAATATATTCACGCTGACGAGATCCCTTCTCGGATGTTTGAAAAGATTCACTTCTTTTCACACTTGTTTTTCTAGATTCGTCTCTCGATCTCGTTCTATTACGTTTCGTCTTGATATCATCCGTTTCTCTTTCAACCGTTTCGTTAAACTTTGCGCGGCATTTGTTAAAATCAAAGCTGGACATGGAATCCTTGTTATTGACTTGGTTTAAACATCGCGATGCGCTGAGTAGAGAATCGGACCCTTCATCACTAGAATAATAAGCGTCTTCAAATAAGTCTTGCGGTTTATTATAAAGAAGTCCTTGCTCGACAGGTGGAAACAATTGAACGAGACTTTTTGCCTTTCTCGGTGGATGGGGTAGAATCTTACTGGGTACGATTTCTTCTTCTTCGTCATCGTTATTGCCTTCGAATTCATTACTACTTGTTATATGGATGCTATGTCTAGTGCTGGTTACAGAGTCTTCTTTTTCCTCGCTTCTATCTTTTTGATAGTCAGTGTCCGATGTTCTATTACTTTTGCATTTACTATCACGCATTCTATTCAAGTATTGTTCGGATTCAGCGTGGTTGACGATGTTCCTGAGTTCTTGAATGACCTCATCTATGGTTGTTTCATCTTCATCGTCTGTAGACTTTTTGTGGTCAATCTTTTTTGTGCTCTCTAATTTCTTATGCAAAGGCCGCTTATTGCGCATCAAATCGTATGTTTCATTTTTAATATTAAATACTTCATATACCATAGATTCTTTCTGTGGGTCCCCTTCAGGACTAAGAGATCTTTCAGATGAACTTATGCCTTCATCTTCAGGTGGCGATGACTCGTCTAAAATAAAGACTTTGTATTAATATTTACATCTGCATAAGTTACAATGATAAAAAAATATACACGGAAATATAACAATTATCATAACGTACCTCTCTTTCTATGTGCGGAGTTTTTTTTCTTTATCACAAACGTTTTCTTCCTGCTAGAACTGCCGTTTTCGGATCGGAGCGTGCTTACTTCTTCTTGTAATTCGCAACACTTTTCTTTTAGACATTTCTCTAATGATAGTAGGATGCCTTTCTCTTCTTGTAAAATCTGAAAACAGAAGTACTTGGATAATTTATGAGATAATTAATACTGAGCGTTTATATTAATTGAGAGAATACATATTAATTTGTCACATTATTAAGGGATTTATGTATTCTCTTTTACCTTTACTCTTTTCTCTAGCAGTTCTAGCTTATGTCGAAGATCATCTTTCTCTTTCTGTGCTTCATTTGCTTTCTCGCTCAGTGTGTCGATATCTATCAGTTGTCTCTCATAATTGTCTATCTCTTTCATCACGTGTTCGTTGGGATTTGGTAATTTAGCAACAATCTGGAAAAGGTTACATTTTCGTTAGGTTGAAAGATTTTAGAGGTTTTGGTTTAAAAAATCTATTTAAAACATAACTGCGTAGTAAACATAGAAAGGCACTGCTGTATTCAGCTACTTACTTCCCTCTCTCTTCAACTCTTACTAATATTTTGAAATGCAGTGACCGGTAACGAGGTCCATGCCTGCCATGGATACAAATAAGTGACTCTCCCATGGTAAGTTAGGATTAGATTTTCTTCAGAGCACACTTAGAATCTGTGACCGTAATATTTAATATAAAGAGTCTTACCTTTTTCAAAGTGACGACATCAAAACCGGCTTGCTCCAGCTCAGCTTGTATATAAAGTTTCCTCTGCGGGGAGGGTGCACTGGTTAACAAGGAGTTAATGAAGGCTAGACCAGCTGCTTGGAGATCCCCAGAACCACCGGTGCTCTGCAGCATGCCCACCAAAAACCTGAAGCGGACTGGTTCGCCGTAACGAAGGCGAAGAGTGGAGAGCGCTTCGGATACCATGCTGTGGCCATTTGCGGGAGGATAGCAGGCTTTCGTGAGTAACTGAAAAAATGTTTTAATGACCTTATTGTAACGAGTTCTGTAAAGAATCCGTGGTCGTTTTCAATTAAATTTTTTTAATGATAGAGAAGGACAGATAAGCATGAGGTTACCTAGATGAAAAGTGAAAATACCCTAGCCACATATAGTTAATAGATCAACAGCGCATCTTGTTGAGATGTTAGATTTATATAGATATAGTTGTGCTTTTGATATTCGAAAATCCACAGACTGACACCGAAATTATTAGCGTGATAATTCTGCATGGCTTTTTCATCAGGGGACGGTAGTTTGTGACCCGGACTAGATTTTAGATTTTAGATATTTCTACTAGCCGTTTAATATCCAGATTTCGAGCCACTTTAGCATTAGCCGACGAGTACGATGTTTTATTTCGATGACTTACTTCCAGTATTAAGACCAAAGTTGTAGGGAACTCACTATCAGTTCTTGGTTGTTATAATACTAAATATGTACTATTTTCTTAATTGCCTTTAAGGAAGGTCTAAGTTGTCGGAATCTTGAGGGGATCTTGTGATAAGATTACCTGTAAAGCGAGTATTCTAGACTTGTTAACAGTAGACATGATGCAGACAGCGAGGCCGTACACTCCGTTAGAACAAACGACCAATCTTCTGACACATTCTGCATACCTGGTACAGCAGCTCCACAGACATTGCCTATAATGTAAAACTCCGTATAATTTTAGAATGTATTAATTATCTTATTGATGATTTCGTGAAGTTATGAATTCACTAGTAAAGTAAATTATAATAAGAAATTAGTTTTTGTTTTGTCTGAAACATATTTAAGGTTTTATTAAGCAATTTAATTGATCGATAAAAAGGTAAACTTTTATGTGTCTAGTCTTTACTTACAAACAAGCCAGCTCATCCAGCAGAGGTCTACGGCGAACAGCTGGAGGTCCACGCGACCCTTCGCCCGCCTGACTGAGTTGAACATTGCGCAACAGTTCCAAAAGTAGCGATACGCCATCTAGCGGCTCGCTCGCGAACTCTTGCACGAAACTAGAATATAGAAATAGAAAAGAATAGAAATATAGTTTTACAAAAATTATGAAAAAAGTTATTAGGGAAATATAAAATAAAACCAAATTCAACATTCCTTTAGTCCTTTGTAATAATTTATTTAATATGTCAGTAAGGGTTTTTTTTAATGATTATTATGTATTTTAGCCCGAACACTGGACGTGGACGTTTTGGCCGTGCTTGGGGATATACCAAGGATACCTTAAAGGGGGCAACCTCCTCGGCTTGGATCATCGAAATGTGTCGTTACATAAAAAAAAATACCTAAATGACTGTCCGGGCGAGTTCCTTCAATAATGATCAGTTTTAAATAAGTGAATGATGACGAAACAACATATTTAACATAATATTACATATATACTAATGATATAAACTATAATAAGCGGGTTCAAAGTACTCATAATTTTTATATGCCTACATAAAGCTGCGAGATAAATACTTAAACCTAATCTATTAAATAAATACTGCAAAGTAATTATACATCTTCGCAATTAACCATCATAACTATAGAGCTAATGGAGACTAATATTGGCTTTACGACCTGCCATCATTGCACTGTAATAAATAATTTTACAGGTTGTCAGATAAAGCGATATCCGCGCGACGTGCTCTTCACTCTCTAATCTATAAAGTCAATATTTAACTAATATTATAAAGGTAAAGAGTTTTTTTGTTTGGACGCGCTAATGTCAGGAACTACTTTTCTGAATTAGAAATTTTTTTTTGCGTTAGACAAAACATTTATCACGGAAGGCTTTTAGAAAACGTAGAAAAAAAACTGAGAATACTATTCATCTTTGAGGGTTTCCTTTACTTGCACTACGAAAATCGTTTGATGTTTCTTTAAATGATGTATAATAATTACAGTCATTGTATATGTCTATATTAATAACTTAAGTCACGATGGTAAAAAAAATGCGGACGGCATTATCAGGAGATGTTAAAATGAAAAAAATAACATGGAACAATGATATGCTGAACGATTGCCATGAAAGCCTTACACAATTTTTAATTGTTAGAGTAATTCTCGACACTTATTCACTATTAAGTCAAAGTAAAAAATGATAAATAAAAACAAAGGTTTCAAGCCAATAATCAAGCAAATTGGTTGAAAGAATTCCTAAGATAACTTTTAAATTACTTAAGCTTTTCGCAGTATTTTCAAAAAAGAAAATAATACGATTGCTGGAATGATAATACGAAACATTGCTTTGAAATTATCGTCTTCATGTGAAGATGCAAAATAATTGCATGAGTCTTTTTTTAAACACGACTGGCTTCTGGTCAATGGGGTGTGGTAGAAGGAGAAGCGATTTAAGATATAAGCGATTTATTATTTGTCATTTTAATAATATGTCTTTAATAGGATAACTACAACGTTTTTAAAGGATCTTTTTGCTTTAGAAAATCACTTTAAGATGTATTTTTACATTAAGACTAATCTGCTGAAGAGAAGTGTTATTTCAAATATTTCTAATATGTGCCTTGATATTTAAACACAAATCTCTTTACTCCTTGCTCCACATTTCATTTAATAATAGAGGAGAACAGACATGGTAGGGGGTTCACCTCCTATGCCTATAGCATGTAAACGAGATTCGCTATCGACCTATTTTTGTCTTTGGATATTGGGAAATCCACAGACTGAAACGAAAACGCGATTTAACTTCACGTCACTTTTATCTGTGGTGGTGGATCGTAACCTGGACGGAATTTCTATATTCTTACCACCCGATTAATATCCAGATTTCCAGATGAAGTCTAGCATGTTTCAGAAAAATTGTAAATTGACAAATTAGAAACATGATCGACCCGGTGGGGACCGAACGACGACCCGTTGATCATTAGCCTTACATTGCTACCATTAAACCAATATAATAGCGATAGTGTGATAACACAGCCTCATTTAAATTGCAGTAGTCTACGTAATTTTCTGCATCTATATAGCGGAATACTTTTTATTGAAGTCTGTGCGACTATTTTTAGTAATTTTCATTTTTAATGACTGTCATCAAAGAATACCGTGGACGGAACCAGTTCGGACATTTATTCGTCACTTATATGGCAATTTAAAGAGTCATTTTTTATCAAACTAATCAGACTACAACAGAGATCTTATCGAAGCACATTTCCCTCAATTCGAATTTGATGTTATGTTGTCACTTTGAACTAATGCTAAAAGCGGTCTTTTGGTACCAAGCATAAGCCGGGGCATTAGGTGCCGTTACATTTTACGACAGCCTTCACTGGGTAAATAATTTTCTTGACAACAATGTGATAGGTTTAACTGTTTTAAACGTTGTAACCGTTAATTAAATTAAATATACACCGTACTGTACCGCTTGTCATAATTTATAATTAGCAATTTTGACAGTTTTTAATACCCCACAAATGACAACTGAAATTGCGTCTACTTATTTATATTTAAAAAAGAGGAATAAAAAAAAGATAAACAAACACATTTTCGCACAAATTAATATAAATATCGCATTGATAATTTTAGATATTTATTAAAATGCCTTAATCGAAAAACAGTTGATCTTAGATATTAAAAATATGAACTTTTTGAAATATGTTTCAGGTTCGTCTTCTTAGATTCTGTAATAATATGAATATAAATAACATTACCTTGGAAATGATAGCCTTAGATCTGCCCTTAGTTTAGTTAGAAGTTCACTCGCTGATCCAAATTGTCGAAGGCTCATTTCTTCACCAACGCCCAAACATGGATTTCTGAAAAAGGCTTATATAATATAGGTAATATAAAAATGGATCGCTAAATGTATTGGTGAGCGAAGATCTTATAAAAAATACTGCTTATAGTTAACGCGGGTAGTACACATTTAAATAAAACACTTTTACGGTTTTTAACGTGATATAATTAAACTTATTTGGAAATATTTTAACAACGGCTCTCGTTTCGGTTTCTTGCTGACGGTGGGACCACGGCTGTAGGTAAAATGCAAATTCAGAGAATCTTGTACTTTAAATAAAAATTAAATTCGTTGAAAGTGTTTTATTTAAATGAATACTATTCATTTAAAGTACTGACAATGCTAAAACTCTGTTTTGTTCTACTGATTACTTATAAATAATTAACATTATGCAATGAAATATTATCTTACCAATCGAATTCGTTCAGTTGTTTTTTTATGACAAAATCTATTATAAAACTGGTTGTATTACCTGAAGTCCTTGCTACCCTGCGAAGGTAGTGTCCTCGCCTTATTGGGGTCCTGCCCCGGGTCTACATCGTAGAGATTCCCTCCGCTCGTCTTCTTCCCCCATTTCTTGAGGGATGTCGCGTAATCCTCGGGATTGTATATCGGAGGTCGTTGTTTGTCCTGCAATGATATATATCTATATACTTTACTATTCGCGTTAAGTTTTTATTTATAACAAGAAATCAATTAATTTTAGGAATATTGCAAATCTTAAGCTTAGGAATATTATTGCCTTTTGTGCAGGACTGTACAGGTTCATGTTTCATATTTCTAAACAGATAGATTACACTACATGCTGTCATTTTAATTTTTTTTTGTCAATTGACAACATGTCAATTGTCATCATGACAACATACTGTTTGTTGTCTTTGTCCATTTACGCGTTAAAATTATTTATTTCTCATACGATTACAAAAAATCTCTTAGAAACTAGGGTAATTCGTTTTTAAACTTAGCTTGCTTTAGGTTAGAACTAAAATCCTATAGTTTACGGTTTTTCAGCGGTTTAAAACGCGATATATTTTAGCTAAACTTGGTTAAAAAATTTTTTTAATTACGGCCCCACATTTCGGATGCCTTGCAAGTTTAACAAAAATATATCGCGTTTTAAACCGTTAAAGTGTTTTATTTAAATGTGTACTACTCGCGTAATCTACAGACAGTAGTCCATAGGAAGTTCAATAGTTAATAGTATATTATAGATACTATGATTAGAACAACGGATAGATACAAGTTATTTGATGACCGTGAGAAAACGGTGGGCTGAACAATGGCTATATATAGGTGAAATTTCACCACAACCAGCATTGTTGTAAGCGAAAGTTCTGGAGGCATTATTGGCAAATGCATTTGTTAGGTTCAACGTTTTTCAAATTCATCATCTCAATATGAATTTGTCAAAGAACGAGAGAGATTCTGGATGTCTTTTGAAGGTTATAAAACCTTTTAACCGACTTTATTAAATAATTAATAAAGTCGGTAAAAAAAGAATGATGTAAAGGCACCATCTTAGCAATATTCATTACAGGATTCACAATGGTGCTAACTGTAAATATTAATTACAAATCCATGTAGATTCAACTCGATTACCCAATTCGTAAGAGCAGCAGCACGGAACTGTGTGAATGCCGGTTTAAGTCCCGCCTGTATCGTCTTTTTTTAAATCTAAATATTTTTTTAACTTTTTAATGCCATCATGGGTATGAGATAACATGTGGAAGATATTAAAGTTTTATGTTTCAAGAAACTAGACGATCTATACGACTAGATAAATACATTTTGACCAAAATCAATTAATGTTGCATTACTTTGTTAGTTACTATATTTTTGTTAGTCAAAAGAAACTACACTAATTACCATATTTCGCCAGATTGTAACGTAAAATAATAATATCGCGAAGATTAATCCTCCGAATGTAATTATAAAGTGTAATTATTACTTAATTACAGTATAGCGTTATGGGAGGCAATCATCATTAATTAAAATAATGATCTCTGATTTCAATTAGAAAACTGTGACTCTCTTTTATATGAAGAGACACAAAAAGATTTCATTTTTCTATTTTTAAATGATATAACAAAAAATAGTCAATTAATAATAATTAAAATAAGACGAACTTTTATAATAGTGGAGCTATTTTGAAAATTCGACAGAATTATACAGACGAGACTAATACAATTAAAGGCGGATTTATCTGTACCTTCTAGAATTTTGGAGCACGTTAATCATTTAGTAGCGGTAGTTATTTACTGCACTGGAGTAATGTAGTGGGTGTAAGCTTACAAATACTCCTTCTGATTGGGAGAGGACATGTTTCCTAAGCTGATAAAAGATTAAAGCCACAACTAAATAAAACCCTTTAGTTTTTCTTGTTTTGCATAGGTTGTAATTAGGAAAGTATTATAGGACTGCAAAGTAGAGTTGTAGAAGCGAAGAGCGAGGAGAAATAGAAAAAAATATAGGAAGGTTTCCATTTTTACAGCGAAGAAAATGCAATAGATCTAAATAATTGCATTTAGTCATAGTAAAATACATATATTGAAATTAACATACATTTCTTGTCAATCCTTCTTAAATATATTTATTCGCTCGAGAACTGAAACGATTTATTGCACGTTTCGTCAATATAAAGTAATTAAAATTAATCGAACTAGATTAATTTGTGATATCAAATTTATGTTTCTGCAAAGTTAAATTCAAGGTTTAAATATAACCTTGCAGAGAATTACTAATGTCGAAATTTCCAATTTATTTTGTATGTAGCCCAAACAAAATATTATCATTTGGTTTTGGATACAAAAAAAACATAAACCAAATCGATCGTAGGTTCGAATTCTAAAAATTCTTTCGGAATGGTAGTTCAATTGGTTTGAGCAACAATATCGTCGTAAAAATATTTCACTCTATAACGATTTTTAATTTATGTGAAAAAAATAGAAAAAAAATTGATAGTAGATAAAGTTTTAAGTATAGCGTAAATTCAGAGTATAATACAAATACAAATATTCCTTATTGTCACAAAACATAACAATAAATCAAAATTGATGGAAATAAAGGACAAACGGCGGCTTTATAAACTGCTATCTCTTCCAAGCGACCGCGGTGAAAAAAGGTAACTCTAAAATATGAATGCGTGACAGCAGAAAGGTACTTACTTAAACTTGTAATAATAATATAAAAATGAACTTAATCTTAAACAAATTAATTACGACCTTAACTAAGTATCTAGTCTTATTTCTCCAGAATTAGTTATTTGAATTCTGAGGTATAAACGCTGGAAACTTTTGGACTGGTGGTAATCGTGGTGGTACGAACCTTAGAGACCGGTTCCTCGCTCCATCCCGCGCAGTTGGCCATACCGTCCAGGGTCAGCTCACTGGAAAGAAAGATAGTTTTATAGTTGAAGGTAGTTCTACAGAATTTTGGATGGAATATGAGATAGAGAAATTAAATCGACGGTCAGTTTTGACTACAATATGTCGGTTCATAACCAACTATTAACAAATTATGAAAACAACGAAGTGAGTTTTTCCGTTGTGTAATTCTTTTACTCTAGAATATGTCCGTTTTGAATTTTGTGATATACAATCGTTTTTATAGCAGTCATCAACAAACAGGATCACTTCGTGGCAGGTGAAATAACCTTGTAAATTTTATGTGAGGATTCCGTATTGTTAATATATCGAAAGATACGTGCCGACAAAGTACCTAAACACAAAATTGTAAATAAGATTGTTTGGATGATAAAGACATTCGTTTGCAAAATAGATATCTATATACTCTTGAGTTTTAGGTCGTAATAGTCACCGTTATTCAATGTACCCAAAATGACTATAAGCTACCAGTAATACTACATAATGTTTTCGCGACTTTATGACGTGTGTTTATGTGTTTGGAATTGCTTTTGGTGTTATTACGGAGATAAATTTAAAACGATTTATAACTAGCCATGCCCGTTATTGTTCATGTATTATTCATTTGTTCTAATTGTTAACTCACAAAACTTAATATCATTTTAACAGTCAAGTCAAGTCTAAATAGATTTATGTATATGATTATTTTGACTGCCTCTGCATTGCGTTAAGCGCGAGACGTCCAGAGTTCGAATACCGGGGAAACAATTGATTGTTTCAGTCTGGCAGGGTACTGTAGTATGAACAACTTGTCAGGGTTAAAACTGGATTTCACATTGAATAAAATGGTTATCTAAGTATTTTCTCTTTTTCCTCGAAGTAAAGCAATGTAGAGAGAAAAACGGGTTCATAAAGATATTCAATGCGTACATTTTGTATCGGTTTTATTTACAAGCAAGTAATTGATCAGACTTCTCTGACTTGCCCTAACAAAACAATCTACTGTTACCCCGGGTTCCGAACCTTTTACGCCTTTTACGCTCAATGCAGTATGTAACACGTTTTACTATAACCATACAGATGTGGTGTCGGACGCATATTAGACTACATTAATAATAAAACAAACAACTTTATCAAACTACATATATTTTGAAATAAAACTTATTATATATTAATATATTAGTTAGGATGCCGAAACGTCGAGCCGAAGTTAAAAATCATTTTCAAGTTTAACTAATATATCGCGTTTTAAACCATTAAAGTGTTTAATTTAAATGTACCTACTACTCGCGTAAACTATAGACAGGATTTCCATATATTTTACATACATTATAAATGTTCTGCTAATTGTTAACGCGCTATTAATTAAAACGAAAAACATATTAGATGGAAAAGGAGTAGAGTTCGTAGTTGAAAATGGATTTAATATACATTTAGTGTTTGAACTCGTCCAAGTTTTAGTTATTACTACCCGCATAAACTACATAGAATACGTAACCATATACTGTATTGTAGCATATCCTTAAATTAGACTGATGTCTTGGGATCTAGTTATATAGCTATAGTTATGGCATATTATGCTAAGAATAACCCCGTGCGTGTCCATAATAACTTCAATTGAATTGAAATGACTGTGTCGTCGTCGGAGCACGTTTTCGAATCGTGTGCTCACAACTTTATGTCTCTTATTGTAGCTCTATACCAATAATTAAGTTTTATTGGCTTGCTTATGAATAATATTTATTTTTTTATAGGATTTTATCACATACGCCGATGTAGCGTCTAGTAATTATGTAGGTAAAAAAAATATTTATGTTTTTACCTATAAAACATCTTTAGCGGTTTTAAACGCGAAGGTTTTACTTAAATTGTTCTTATTTTAACTTTGACCCATTTTTAGTATACATATACATAGTTTTAGATGCTTTGCAGTAGTCATTAGATTATGTTCGTAAAATATGTATCTGATTAATGTGTTAAAATGACGACATAACACAAAAAGTTAATAATAGTAAAAAGCTATACATGCTTTAGTTCATCACGTTGAAAGCAATAATTCGGTTTTTGCTTCCATAAACCGATCTACGGTAGGTCAACGGATCATACTCCAAAGCGTTGCGGTTACGAAAGAAATTAGTTGCACATTCTAATGCATATTTGCTTTCTTATATAGTTTATGGTTTAGTAATTGCATATAAAAAATCAATCTTTAAAAATAATATCGATGTTAAAAGAAAAAAAATATGCTAAGTGTTTTCGCTTGGGGATATAAGCCGTTTAAAAATACAAGGCAATAATAGGCATAGGAAAAGGCATTTGCTATTTTTCAAAGCTAATATTAATTTAACTGGATAGTTAAAGAACCGATAGAAGGCGAGAAATCTTTAAACAAAGCGAAATGGCAGCTGGGCGTTACAAAAAACGGCTAACGGCGGGTCATTCGTCTCAATATGTCAGATCCCGTAACACGATCACACCCATTACACTAGTTTTTACACAAAGGGCGCTTCCGATCCGAGAAAGACAGGATGTTCCTAGTTTCCTAATAAAAAAAACAGTTATTCACTCAAGGGCCTTATGTTTTTGAAAACTTTTTAATATTCAGAGTTCTTTTGGTTTAACTGCTGAACAAATTGTTTTATATATTATTGTGAAATAGTTAATGCGCCAGCAAATATTTAGGGAAACTATAAAATGCACAATGTGAATTGGAGTCTCTTTTGCCGGTACTACGAGAGTGCAACACGTTTTTTGTAAAAATGTTTAAACGTAATAAATAGTATCTCTATTTACGTTAAAAAAAAAATTACGACACGAAACTTGAATCGGCAACCATACCGCTGCTTCAACCAACTGAGCTAACGCGTTTTTAAATCTAAATATATTTTTAATTTATAGAATTCCATCATGTTCATGTAAAAAATATTATAGTTTTCAAAACGATAAATACTAAAAACTTTAAAGTGTCATTAAAATTCTTGTCTGTATTTTATTACGGAAAACAGCCTGTAGGCGTCTGTAAAGGCTTTTTATACGTGGACAACTGTTAATATCATTATACTTTGAACATGATTGTTTTGTAAAACCGTGTCAAATTTATAATTCACCGCGTATAAATTGCTCGCTTCTGTAACATAAAGCGAATTATGGCGTGTCTAAGATTTAATAGCTGTCCCGTAAGCTTAGTGGTTAAAGCGTGTCCTTTCTAACAGAACAGTTTCTGAAAGTTATTGTTTGCAATTTGTGCGAATGATGTATTCATATTAGTATAAATAATGTACAATAATTTTCAATTTTAACTTGCTTAAAAAAGTAAACGAGATTTAAAGGAATTATGTATATAAAAATAAACGAAAGACTGGGTAAATTTATTTATTATAGTCTTTCGTACTAACTTATAAATACAAGGCAGACTTATTGCTAAGTAGCGATATTTTCCAAGCAAACTGATATTTTAGCAACTTGAAGAACATGACAAAATAAATTAAGAAATAATAAAAATAAACATATTATTCCTTACAGCTATCTAATATACATTATTAATAAAAGTAGAATTAGATTAGTTACTTCTTAAATAAAGTTACAATGAAACACTAGGCTAGGCTGAAACTTTCGAAATAAACGAATACACGATGCCTTCTAGAAGTTGTTTTTATTTAATTAAAAATAACCAAATTTTATCTATGGTAGTATATAATCGCGGGAAGATGTAAGCCGTTAATAAATAAGTCTTATACGAGAAAAACATACGAGTAAGCAACGCCTCAAAAGGCCACCTGATTACATTCGATTAGCCCGCTTCGCTCTCGGCTACTTCCTCGTGATCTATCGACTGCCGTGAAATAGCCAGATTATGTAAACGCTAATGAAAGTTATTGTGTCAACACGCAAAACTCACAATTAAACTCGACTTTTTTATGATAGAGGAGCACAGAGAAGCATAACGTGCTTGGTGGTAGGTGACACATCTCTAAATAAGATTCACCGTCGACCTATTTAGATATTCGGAAATCAATAGACTGAAATAGAAACGCTTTATTATATTATACTTTTCATCTAAGGACGGACGAGATTTCGATATTCCTATCACTCACTTAATATACGTTTCAGAAAAATTATAAAATGATTCGAAACATATTGGTCCCGTTGGGGTTCGAGCCCACGACCCCTTAATTAATAGCCATATATTGCTACCATTGCATAAATAAACCCGTCAACTTATACTTGCGTTTTGACAGGAGATCATTGTTCAATTAGAATCCTGGGTCGAGCGAAATCTTACTTTGGTATTTGGGGTATTTCTGAGATTTTTTTTCTGATGTTTTAATATAGAGAGATAGTCCTGGCTATCGTTGCTAAAACGTAGATGTTAATCCCGACACTGGAGTGGCATGGTGGGTCTCTTAAAACCTTTTCGTATATCACTGGGAATCTAGGCTCAGCAGTAAGGCATTAGAAGGTCGACTTGGTCGTAGTCTAAATCCAAAAGTGGTACACAGCAAATCATATAACATCTTGCAGCCTACATTTTTCATATAAATTTATTACTCTCTTTATTAAATTTATTACTCTCTTTATTAAATTTATTACTCGCTGTAACCACACTTTTACTTTAACAACCCAGAAATATACTTTCTCGGTTCGAAATCGATTATTATTTTCCGCTCGCAATTCGAATAATGGTTACCGCGAAATATTAATTAATTGTCCCATTTATTGACCACAAAACTATTGTGAAACTTCATAGAAGTATTTTTATTATTTCTTTATTGATTTATAACTAGGTATTATAACTGCGCTGTTAGTACACCATCACCACATTAGGTTATCATTTTTTATTTTTATTTAATTTACATTTATCGTTTATTAATGTTTTTTGCCACAAATAAATAACATAGCTTAAATACAAGTTTTGGGATTAAAAAGTGAAATATATTGTTAACTAATTTTTTTATTCAAACTACATCCTGACGTTTTGAGTGCTTTACAGCACCTGTGGTCATT